TTTCTTTATTCATTCTTCTCAAGACCTCGAAATTTGTGACTCTCTCGGTCCATGATATTCTCAGGATTCTGCAATACATCCACAGTTCAAATGCCTCTAATTTTTTAATATCAATCTTTTTCAACGTCCATGACTCCATGCCGTAGAACAGCACAGAAAGTACGTAACATCTCATCAGGCGAAGTTTCATTTCAAGGCTCAAATCTCTTCCGCAGAACACTCTCTTCATTTTAGTGAATATGGATCTGGCTTTTTCTATTCTTATTTTGATTTCTACTGAGCTATCGTTGTCTTCATTTATAAAAGTGGCTAAATATTTGTATTTGCCAACTCGATCGATAATTTCATTGTTTAAATATAAATTTTGGACATTTTGTGTTGATTTCGATATTACCATAAATTTAGTTTTCTTTATGTTCAAAGGTAGTCCATATTCTTCGCTGCAGTCTGCTATCTTATTCACCAATGTCTGTAGCTCTTCAAGTGTTTCTGCGATCAGGACGGTGTCGTCGGCAAATCTCAGATTGTTTAATCTAACACCATTTATTTTAATACCTACGGATTGCTCAGAGAGTGTTCTATTCAGTACGTCTTCGGAATAGAGATTAAACAGGGTTGGTGACAGTATACACCCTTGTCTCACACCTCGCTTTATTTCAAGTTCTTCAGTGGTATTATTCTCTACTCTCACTACTGCTTTCTGATTGTAGTACATATTTGCTATTAGTCGAATGTCTTGTTTATCTAAATTCTTTTCTGTCAGTTGTAAAAAGTAGTACATATTTATTTACCAAGCCTTTCCAAGTAGCCAAAATGTAGTTATAAGAGAAGTATCGTCAATCGATTAATACATTGGTATATTGGCGGTACTATAAGATGGAACTAGAGCTATATTTTAAATACTAACTATAATATAATACTAAATTCATTCAACACACTACGTAAAAGAATTATTACGTTAATAGACTTGAACAATCCATGAAAGTAATGAAAAATAAAAATTTATACTTACTATTTGGTACATATCCTCTTAAGGATAATAAAAAGAGAGCGTTTAAGGAGATTTTCTTCACGTTTTCAGGAACATCACCAGAACAGGTTCTTAGTTTTTGTTTGGGGGAAGTTTGAATCCATATTTCTCCTTGTGGATCCACCTTTCATCTTTATGAGCAGACATCGTGACTCTCATAGTTCCCAGGCCGCCCTCCTTCGCTGGTAGCTGCGGAAAGATAACTTTGGACATTTCCATGGCTTTGTTATCGTCGTCGTTCTTGGTGACAAAGACTGCCACATCTCCTGTTATTTCCGAGATGTGTCCTTCTTTTACTATGGTCCTCGTGAAGACCTCCTCCTGTCAGTCTTCATTTAGAAACTCCATTGTTTCCTTCTCGTCCCTGCATGTTTTCATGTTGTCCGCGATAGCGTCTACCCTTCTTTTAATAGCTTCTGGGTTCTCTAGGTCCACTTGAACCCCCATTGTAGCCATCTTCTTAACTTTCGAGGGTTCCATGTTGATCTGCACGCCTCTGGATGTCATGGATACAGACTTCTTTGGTGCCTCTTCTTTCTTATTTTCCACCACTTTTTCGATATAATCGAGCATCCGATTTTTCAGGATGTCGACTTTCCTCTTTATGGATAGCCTTGTATTTGGCACCTTCCTAATGAGTTTTCCGAGTTCTGCTACGCTGTCCTGGAGACATATTGAAGTTTATTTTTTAAGTTTATTAAATATTTATTGTACGCAAGAGAGATACCTTTAGGAATAATCAAAACCATCGAAAATATCTACCAAAACAACACAATAAAAGTAAAAGTAGAAGAAGAACTAACTGATTCATTTGAAGGTAGAAATGAGATAAGACATGGAGATTTCCTGAGTCCTCTATTGTTCAACCTGATTATGGATGAAATAATAAAAAAAGTAAGAATTAAAAAGGATACCAAATGGGAAATATTGTCTTGTATTAAATTTCTTATATTAAATGATGAATCAATTCTTTACTGAAATAAAAAAAAAATTAAAGGAAAAATTTAGATTCTTAAAATTTTAAAGAATTTAACAGTATTTTCGTTTTTATTTTATACTGTGGCAAATTAAAAAATATCTATTGAAGAAGATTCTTCTTCTTGATGTGCCTATCCGTTACGAATGTTGGCGATCATCATGGCAATATTTATCTTATCAGCAGCAGCGCGGAATAGCTGCACATATGTTGTATTGAACCAGATTCTGAGGTCCTTTAACCTTCTTCTTCTTGTAGTTCCATGACCGTTATCGATCGTTGGATATCATGTTGGCTACCATATTTGCTATCGTGACTTTATTGACAGCAGCTCTAAATAACGATGTAGTTGATTTTCCATACCATTGCCTTAGATTTTTTAGCCATGATGTTCTTCTTCTACCAGGACCACGATTACCTTGGATCTTTCCCTGAATGATCAGATGTAAAAGATCATATTTTTCAGGGTGTCTCATAATATGACCGAAGTATTCCAGCTTGCGTTTCTTTATTATATTGACCAGTTGTGTTGTTTGGTTCAGCCTCCCCCTAAGGACCTCCTCATTTCTAACTCTGTCGACCCAGCTTATTTTCAGTAGTCGTCTGTATACCCACATCTCAAAGGCTGTCAAGCGTTTAAGCATAGCTTCAGTTAGGGTCACGCTTCTACTCCATACAGCAGGACAGGAAAGATATAGCAAGATATCATACGAACTCTAAGGTCAATGCTAGGATCACGACTGCAAAGTACGTTTCTCATTTTTACAAAGGCAGCTCGGGCTTGTTCTATTCGGCTTTTAATTTCTGCGGTTGGATCCCAGCTCTCATTGATATTACTGCCGAGATACACGAGTTTCTCTACTCTGTCCAGTGTGGCATCTCCGACTTTTATACCGTCATTATGTATATAATTTTGTTTGCTAACTATCATATATTTAGTTTTCTTAACGTTGAGTTTTAATCCATACTGATCACAAGTCTGTTTTATTTTGTTCATTAGATTTTGAAGGTCTTCTCCGCAATTGGCAAGGACTAAGGTATCGTCGGCATATCTAATATTGTTGACGGTTACTCCATTCACAATAATACCTTCGGTTGTCTCCATTAAGGCTCCCTTAAATATTTCCTCCGAATATAAGTTAAAAAGTAAAGGCGACAATATACAGCCATGTCTCACTCCTCTTTTTATATTTATTTCATCCGACAGTTCTTGTTCAACCTTTATTCTTGCCACTTGATGCCAGTATAGATTTGTAATTATTCGTAGTCATAGTCGTCCTTTAACCAGGATGTTCTTATTCTTCCTGGACCTCGCTTTCCAAATATTTTTTCTTGCAGGATTGGTCCATTCTTCATTTATTATGGTCCTCTTTCTACAGGAGATTGGTTGACGTAGATTTGACCTTCTGTTATCCTTTTTTGCCAATTATTATAAGCTTTGTCTTCTTAACGTTTAAATTGAGTCCATATTGTTTACTGTAATACGTGATTTTGTTCATAAGAACTTGTAGGTCTTCTAAGTTGCCCGCAAATTGAAGTAAATACCTACCCTAATTTTTATTATATAGTAAATCTTATGCAGTATCGATGAGTAGAAGGTAACTAAAATTATAGGTTTCTATTGAAAATTACTTATACAATATTTTGCATTCATTTTGATTAGAGTTTTAGAACGGTAAGATTTTAAAAAATAGTTCAATATTGCGTACTTACTTTCCTCTGACATACCCGTAATTGGCCCTTTTACAAAAATCACTTAAATTATAAATATAAAAAATATTGAATCATACAAACAAGTGAAATAAAATCTCACAACTAAAACACATACCTCACACATACAATTATCAGAGTTAGGGACCAGAATTTACCTGAAATGTGGTTTTTGAAATTCCCATTTCTAGCTAGCTTTTTATGTAAAAAAAAACATTCTGTGCAATGGAGAAACAAAATAATTACTAAATTTATTTGAAAGTTGGGACTCAGATAACTGAAATGAGTATAAATAATTTTGTAAACAACTTTTTCAAAATTCTCATTTCCATATTTTTTCAACTTGTAAATAAATACATTGATTTTTTTAAAATACATACAAATTGTGTTGACTACCATGTTTACTTTATTTTTTTTTTAATTAAATTAACCTGCATGTGACATCTATGGTCATTAGCATTAGTTACGATTTACATGGTATCTAATATCATATAAATTATAAAATAATATAGTTTAGATTTAACATAAAGAGAAAATAATAAAAACATGTAACATCACATTTATATTTTGTTGAGCAGTTGACTTTTCTCGAGGAGTTTGATAACTTTGTTGTTTGGTCTGGGCTGCTTAGGACCTCTTTGAAGATAGTACTGATATCGAACTGTTGATGTATTTTGGCATAAAAAGAGCATTCAATCAGTAAATGTCAGATTTGAAGAGTCATATTGCAGCTCTGACATTTTGGTCGTGGAGATGATTTCATCAAGTAGCCATGAGTTAGACTGGTATGTCCTATATGCAATAGTAGGTTCACTGAGGGATTAATTTCATGCAGCGCTGATATAACTTTATTCCAGTGATTCTGCCAGATAGATAGATTAAGCTTCTTCAGTCTAGCTTTGAAATCATTGCAAATTTGTATATTGACAATGGTGTCTGGATGATGGGCCTTTTTTGGCAAGGCAATCAACTTTTTCATTACCACTAATACTGACATGAGATGGTACCCATATCAGAGTGACAGGGCATTTTGTGATGGAAAGTGTTTATTTCCACATTTACCAAATTAATTGGATATTTCTAATTGTCTATATTGAACTAAGGTTTCTTTTATAAAGAAAATTGATCATGTTCCTCACTTTTTGTCAGTGAAAAGCATTTTATTGATGCTCAAAACAGTTAATGAGATTTACTCAATGCTACAGATCATTTCTATTAATTTTGTTTAGACATTTTGGATTCACTGGTGAAATCAATCAAAAAGCAATTTATTTGTTGTTTATTATCAATACATACATATATATTATAAATTATTCAATAAGTAGTATAGCAAAATGTAAACTGTTAAGCCGATATTGGAATATTTTGTTGATATAGGTATATGATTAATAAAAGTGCTAAATAATTAAGAAATGTATGTCTGGTAGCTTAAATTATTTGAATTATCATTTCACTTATAATTAACACAAATGCGGGATTATTTTTATTAAAAAATTGAGTTAAAAATAATATCTATGATAAAACGATCAGTTTTATATATGTAAAACTTTGACTCTATTAACAGACTACATTAGTGTAAGGTTAGATAATTATTTGTTTTGTCACAAAATAGCATACCACATCACTACTAATGTAGACTATCATTTAAAATACAGCAAAACTCTCAGCATACACCAATAATCCTAGTAACAAACTAATAGTTTTCTACCTACTGATAATAATAACAACAACTCATGTAATACATACTCAGTCCAACCAAAAAACGTATTAGTACTTTAGCTACTTTGTGGATTTATAAAACATATCACAACAAACTAAGTTTTCCTGTCACACTATTAACATTCTCTTCCAATCCAAACAAACTGAGAACAGTTACAGATCCTGGGGCTATCTGTGTGTGTCCTGCATCTCTGACGAGATAACACGGAATGTTTTTCTCCTTGGCTTTTTCGTAAAGCTCTTTTAAGTGAGATTCATCAATACCCTTTAGTACTATTTTCTTCTCTCTGAAATAAATGAAGCAATCTCACTATCATCTACTTGCTATACAAAATGTGACCTACATACCCATAACATTCCCAATTGCCGAGTTCATCCTTTTTATCCATCATAATTTCTCGAAATAACCCCAAACAAGCATGACCTACCTAAAAAAATCTTAATTTTAGGTTTTAAAAGCTTCTCATACACTGATTAATATCTTACTTGTGCCGCTATCTTGCCTACGCCCATTTTTAGAGAACTATTTACAACAAACGTCATTTTATAATACTCAGCAGGCTCTCCTCCATCTGAATCAGAACTATCTGCTTTTGCATCGTGACTACCAAAGGTCCTAGCATCTTCCTCTTGACTGTTAAACACATATTCTGCTGCTTCGTCTAGTGATGTATTTCCCGTACAAAATAATGCCTAAAACAACATACAATATATCAGTAATTTATAAATTAGTAAAAATCAATTTTAATTTAACATACCTGAACAGCAATATCGTGATTTATTCCCATAGAAACTAACTGATGAAGAAATTCTTCATTGGGTCTAAATTCAAGCTCTGGTTCAGTCATCAGGTCCATTAATTTTTTAAAACTAATAATTTTATTCCTCAAAAATCAATTCCTTTTTCTAGAACACTACACTTCAAAATTATATATCTAAAAGGTTAGATTCTTCTTTTTTTGCAAGGAAATTATCTGGATGCTTGATTTTATTTACATCCACAACAATAAATTATAATGAATTCGTGCATAAATACAAGAATTTTATCGCTTATGACCAATAATTAACAGTGGGTAATAAGTTTAATATGCATAAACTTTGACAATGCATCAAGGAAATTAAATAAAGATTGACAAATATACGTGTCATTAAAACGCCTTATTGTTCACTTATTGTTTGTGGTTTGTGTACTGACATCTGATTGATAAGGTTAGTTTGGTTTTTATTTTAATTAAGATTTATTAGAATTAAGAATAATTTAACGTAGTCAACGTATTAATATTGTACATGCAGTAATATAATATATAGCTTTACTTATTTTATGCTGTAGCCATAATTAAGGTGTTGGACTAGCAAATAGTAAATGTTAGCATTGATACCTTATACATTGATACATTAATGTTTTTCAGTATGGAAAGTTAAAGAGAAAGTAAAAGGAATTTTCTAAAAGTAGTTCGTTTTTCCAGAAATTATTTATAAACCAAATTATTCAGTTTTATTTAGAATAGTAATGTTGGTTGCCTAAGTATAAGCACATGAATTTATTTTATAAATAAACATCATAGGTGGATCAGACAATTGAACGAAGGGATACATATTTTAAAATTTATAGATTTTTTATTTGTAAATATTTTGATTAATTCAATGTCTAGATATTTTTAAATTCGATTTACGTTTCCAGCAATATTAACAAATGAATAAAATCAAAACAAAAAGCAAGAAACATGAAAAAAGTAAGGGCAAAAGGAAAAGAAAAACAGACTCATCTGATAGCGAAGAAGAACAGTTAGAAAACAAAAGGAAAAAACGACATAAAGAAGAATCACCTTCTAGTAGTTCTTCGTCATCTTCGTCATATTCCAGCAGTTCTAGTAGCAGCACCACTACTGACACTAGTTGTTCAGTTAAAGTAAAGAAAAAGAGGAAATCGTCGCCATCTACTTCATCAAGTTCAAGTGAATCATCTGAGGGGGAACAAAAGAGCAAAAAGAAAAAGAAGGTAAGAGGTAAAATTTTTGGGGTTGGAAGGTGCAAAAAATAAATTAAATTCTCCAGGAAAGCGCTTTTAAATTTCAATTTTAGACCATAATAAAAGCCACTAAAGGCAATTTTGTGAAACCTATTAAAATTGCTGAACGTATGAAATTTAGCCAGTTGCACATTATCATAAATTTCTCATAAGTAAATTTTGAATATTCCATAAATATGTAGTTCTGCAGATATAATTTTACAAACCATGTCAAGCCACCTCATCTCCCTGGTGTCGCGATTTTTATCTTTTTTATCAGCAAACAACTTGGATTGTCGATATGTTAGCGTTCCAGCAATTGCGTTTAGAACAAAACGGGGTTGAATTGCTTTCTTATTTTTCTTGAATGTGATAGTCAAATAATAATAATAATATAACAGTCACGTCGATCAGCTTTGTGACTAAGCTACTACTCCCCTTCATATTTTTTGAACGGTTATTGTTATAATGGTGAAATGTCTTCTTATGGGGCCTATCCGTTACGGATGTTGGAGACTAAAATGGTTATTCTGACTTTTTTGACTGCTGCCCTGAAAAGTCTGGTAGTGGGTTAAACCATCCACTTTACCTTGAAGTATGGTCCAAAGTAGGTTTCAAAAGATGGCTCATAAGGTTTTTTAGGGATTGTTGTAAAAGTTGATCTTAGCCACTGTTGGGGTATTTTTCTACTTTGGTATTTTTACTTCGTCTTTATCCATAATTTTAAAAAATTCTGAGTAGAACTCGTCTGGTCCTGCGACTTTTCCCTCCTTAATGTTGTTTATAGCAGCTTCTACTTCCTCTTCGAGAATTGGTGGTCCGGTATCGTCATTTGTATTTTGTGTGATGCCTGCTGCTTCTTTGATCTTTTTGTGGAGGTTGAAGGAATCGTGTTTACGTTCCAATATCTCGATTTCTTCACTCTGTTCTTCCAGATCTCTATTTTTAGCTTTTTTGACAGCTTTTTATCTCTTTGTCTAGAAATTGATATGCAACGCAGTCTTTCCGCTTGGATTCTCTTCTTCTGTCCATCATCTGTAATATACCGTCGGTCATGCATGGTTTTTTCTTTTCTGCCTTTTTCGGTCGCAGGTATTGGTCTAATATTTCCTTCCTAATGTTTTCTAAGTAGTTTATGTCTGTGGCAACATCATTATCTACTTCTGACTTAGATATGTTGTTCTTCAGATACTCCGTGCTTCTTGCTTTATGTCATCATCTCTTAGTTGTTTGAGATCGTATCTTATAGGATTATGTTTGTGGATCTTTTTTTTAATTTCAGACGAAATTTATCGACAAGTGGGTTATGGTCTGACTTAATATCTGCACCAGTTTAGGTTTTCACTGATGTTATTAAGATTTTGAATCTTTTATTTATTAAAATATAGTCAATCTGGTTTCTTATGAGGTTTTCTGACGTGTCACCGGGTGAGCGTCATGTGTACAACCTTCTGTATGGTAATTTGAAGAGTGTATTGCTGATTACCAACTCTTCTACAACCTACTTCACCATAACTACCCTTACTGATTTTGGCATTAAATTTGTTTTTAATTTACTTAGGACTTTCTTTAAATCGTAATAAAAAAGCCTCTATTACTTCGTCTGATTTGTCTGCTGTGGGTGCGTATATTTGGAGTACGTTGGTTTTTGCTGGGAATAAATCCAATTGAATGAGCATGATTCTCTCGAATATTAGAACAAAATTCGTAACGTATTTGTTTATTTAAAATTATTCCGACGCCATGCTTATGTTGACGTGTATTTCCAGAGTAATGGAGGTGTATTGCTGAGGTACTTGGTGCTCATTTATTTGGTGAAATTTAGAGAGCTTTTCAACTAGTCACAACAGGTGATATATATTTAGAATTTACTCACAGTAGCATTGTAACGTCATCTGTCACTATTACGTCACCTGTTATGACTAGTTGAGGAGCCTATTTCGTTTATTACCTCCCTCCAAATTTCACTGTTATAAGTATAACAGTTCAAAAGGGGGAACGGACTTTTGAGTAGTACTGTATCATCTAGCATTTGTTTGGTGTCTTATTTTTTGTGTTCTTCTTCAAGTGCCCTCTTTTTGCTATTCGTATCTTTGAAGCTGTTGCTTTAAATAATTGGTTAGATGTGCACTGGAACCTTCTTTTTCTTCTTCTTCTTACGGTGCCTATCCGTTCCGGATGTTGGCGATCAACATGGCTATCCTAACTTTGCTTGCTGCTATTCTGAATAGTCCAATTGTCGATGTATTAAACCACTATCTCAGGTTTTGAAGCTAAGATGTTCTTCTTCTCCCTGGTCCTCTCTTTCTAAATACCTTGCCCTGAAGAATGAGTTGCAACAAGCCGTATCTCTGTTCATTCCTCATAACATGGCCAATATATTTTAATTTGCGCTCTTTGATGGTGTTATTAATTTCGCATTTCTTGCCTATTCTACGTAGGACCTCAACATTAGTCACACGATCCACCCATGAAATTCTTAAAATACGTCTGTAACACCACATCTCGAATGCCTCGAGTTTTCTTAAAGAAGCTTCGGAAAGTGTCCAGGCCTCTACTCCGTATAATAACGTAGAAAATACATGGCATCTAATGAGAGAGATTTTGGTAGCAAGTGGTAAATCGTGACTTCTGAAAATAGACTTCATCATTATGAACGCTGATCTCGCTTTTCCTATACGTTGTTTTATTTCGCTGGAGTGATCCCATTGGCTGTTAATGTTGGTACCAAGGTATGTGCAGCTGTCCACTCTGTCAATTGGATGTTGGTTAACCAAAAGCTGTTTATTTAATATTTCGCGCTTACTGACTACCATGTACTTTGTTTTCTTCGTATTTAGATCAAGTCCATGTTCTCTACTTATATCTGATATACGCGACATTATTCTTTGCAAACCGTCCAGACTATCTGCAAAAACTACTGCGTCGTCGGTATATCTAATGTTGTTTAGACGCATTCCGTTGACTAATACGCCTTCTTGTAGTTCTCCTAGCGCTTGTTCGAAGATATATTCAGAGTATATATTAAATAACACCGGGGACAGAATGCATCCTTGCCTCACTCCTCTATCTATAGAGACTGCCTCTGTCAATTGGTCATCCACTTTAATATTGGCTGTTTGGTTGTCATATAAATTATAGATGATTCTCAAGTCCCTATCATCTAACCCCACTTCTTTCGAGATGTTTATAAATTTATCATGCTTTACTCTATCAAATGCCTTTTTGTAGTCGATAAAACAAGTATACACATCACAGTTAACATCCCTGCATCTTTGCATAAGCACTTGGACAGTGAATAGAGCTTCTCGGGTGCCTACGTAATCGCGGAATCCAAACTGCGTCCATGATACTTGTTCTTCGTATTTTTTATATATTCTGCCGTGTATCACTTTTAAGAACGTTTTAAGTAAGTGACTCATTAGGCTAATTGTTCTGTAGTCTTTGCATGTCTTGACATTTACTTTTTTTTGGTATGGTCACGAAGGTCGACTTTAACCAGCTTTGGGGTATTTTTCCAGTTACGCATATGTTGTTGAATACAGTTTTTATCCATTTTATTCCCTGTTCATCCATAAGTTTTAGGAATTCTGCACAAAACTCGTCAGGCCCTACCGCTTTACCATCTTTAGTTCTTTTAATAGCTGACGTGACTTCTTCAATGGTAATCGGGGGTCCTGTTTGGCATTCAGTGTCTTCAGTGGTATTCTGCCTTTCATTTGCAAAAGTTACTTCCACATAATTCTTCCAAGCATAAGAAGAAGAAGCACTGGAACCAGTCTCTTAAATTGCGCAGCCAAGATATACGTCGTCTCCTCACGCTTCGTTTGCCCTGAATCTTTGCTTGGATAATTAACAAGAGCAATCGGTACTTTTTCCCTCTCATCACACGACCAAGATATTCCAACTTTCTTCTCTTGATGGTGATCAACAGCTCTCGTTCTTTGTTCATTCTTCGAAAACTACACTATTTGTTATTTTGTCTGTCCAAAGTATTTTCAAAATTCTTCTATATATCCACATTTCGAAGGCCTCTATTTTATCGATTTTGTTATCGATTTTTTGTGTAATGGTACTTTATTGTTTCAATTATAGATCCTTACCAAAAAACGCCCTAGAAAGCAGTCATCTAGTTCGTCTACTTCTTCTTGCACTAGCGACAGCAGCTTATCGAGTGACGCCAAATCAAAAAAATCTTCCAAAAGCTCGTCCAAAAAGAAAAAGCCGAAACAAGAGGAGGAATCTATGGATATACCTATCAGTTTGATGGAGAAAGGTAAGTCGATGGCGCCGATGACGAAAGAAGAGTGGGACAAGAATCAGTCTACAGTTAAGAGAGTCTTTGATGAGTCTACAGGGCGTCATAGGTAATTTGTTCATCGCTATATATTTTTTTGTTTTAATTGACATTTCTTGACAATTAATTTTCAGATTGATAAAAGGAAACGGTGAAGTGTTAGAGGAAATAGTGAGCAGAGACCGTCACAAGGAAATCAACAAAATGGCGACCAAAGGTGATGGGGAATATTTCCAAAATAAACTGTCTTCTGCTGTTACGAAATAAAAACAACTTAGTAAAGTTTCATTATTAAATAATATTTTTAACAATTTGAATATTTATTAAGTACTTAACATTTAAGTAAAAAATAAATTGATAAAATAGTGCGTTAATGATTTTTGTAGTGTTTTATTTCTTCCTAGACCGCTTGATCCCTCATGGTATTCATTTTTTTCACCATATCGTCTTTACTTTACTTTACACAGTGTTTTTTATTTTGGCTCTTGTGGTGTGTACAAACTTAAATGTGGCGACTGCCCAAAAACTTACATCGGTCAAACTGGTAAAAACTTTAATAAACGAATAGCAGAACATAAAAGGGCTTTCAATAATAGAAAAACATAGTCTACATTTAATGACGAATTTAAAATTCTTCACATTCAAAATAAAGGCCTTAAGCTATCCTTGTTAGAATCTATGGAAATTAACAAATTAAAAAACACAGATATAATTCTGAATGACCAACTTACGACAAACAGTTCTCCCCTCCTCAACCTATTTCATTAGAGACTATAAATTGTAAACGCATGCCAAAAATAGATCACTTGAGAAAGGCAATCAGCCGAAACAGCAGTAGTGATAATTGTTAAAATAAATTTTGTAGAAGTTTGAAAACAAAGTTTTCAGTGTTTTATTCTTACAAGGATTTGGGTTCAGCAATGATGATTTTGCACTAAGTGGTCTGCAAGATCATTAGGTTTTGATAAAACAGCTTTGAATAGACTTCACACATTAAATAAAAGTCTTTCTGTTTATTAAAAACATTTATTCCTTGATCAACAACGGAGAAAAATGTAAATATAAATAATTATCACAAATATAATAATTTCTGGACCTCACTATAATATTTATATCAAAATAACTTGCACTAAATCAACTTTATACATTATTAAATACATAAAGATTGCAATTATATTGTTTTTATAGTTAACTGGTGAGCCCAGACTGTAGATTCTAAGGTAAAACAATTTTAACCTCTTGTAAAACTAGCTTTTTACACTTAAGAAAAGTTGTAAGTCCTTGTTTCTGGGGAAGTCTATAGAATAAAATCCATCTATAGTAAATTCACAGACTAGAAAAAGTACATCGCAAAACAAAACATTGTGTGCCAATATGTAACCTAAAATCAACCAAATGCTGATGTATGAGCTCCAATTAACCAACTAGTAAGCTTCCTAGTCCATGGATTTCTATAAATCAACTTATCAATGAAGTTTTGGTTGACGAGTTGTTATAGACGAAAACTTTGTCAATGAATTGCAGTCTATTTTCAAGAATCATTAACCTTTATGAAAATCGCTTTCTTTTGTGAAAAATAGCAAAAAAATATTCAAGCAATTATTACAACCCAAAGTTATTTTTCTATTTACAACTTAAGATATGTCTAAATACCTATATACATTTATAAAAATAATAATTTGGCTTCCAATTTTAACGTCCTTTTTTAAAACACTGTTTAAAATGATTAGAGAAATACTTCTCTCATTTCACCACTTATTTATATACTTACATTGCACAACAAATAACTCACGACTTAAATAGTGAACAAATATTTGTATCTTTAATCATTTTAAACAAAAGACTAAAAAATTAAACCTTATTTAATAATCACACACTCTAGAATTTTATCATTTTCGATTATTCCAAGTAATCAACAAGTGATTACAGATATTTATTATCCAAATACAGGCAGTTTACTAAAAAATATATATTTGCTTTACCTAGTTTAATAAAAAGGCATAAACACAAGTATTGGTAGATTAAAATTGTTCAAAAGACTTTAGATGAGCAAAATATTTTATTACAATAACCACTGTTGTAAAATGTTAAATATAGACACATATACTGCAATAGTCCACTTCAAGTGGGCTACTACAACAGAATTCGCATTTCGTTCTAGTAAAAGGCACGGTAAACTGCACTGGTGTTCTCCATAATTATTTAATACTTTGCTAAATTTTAGGTTCAAAATAAATATGTGTCATTAAACCAGTTGTTCATAGTTTTGCATATTTTGTTACATTTTTGTAAATAAATAGTATTTTTGTAATTTTTGTCAAAAATACTTCGAAGTAAACTAGAACATTTTGTCAATTTAAATAGTGGTGGTTAGATAGACCATATTTGTCTGTTTGAGTGTACCATTTTTTATGTCTGCGATTACAGGTTAAAGTTAGGATATTTGTATTATATGTCTATGGTTTTAACCAATACCAATTGGAAATAAGAACCTATATAGACTCTGATATTATACAAACTCTATTAGAATAAAAGTTTTCATAAGTTTATTACCAAAATTCCCTTAAAAAAGAATTTTCATTTACCATATTTGAAGACAGTTATATAAATATACACTCGCGATCATAAAATCTGGGTCACCTTGGAAATCACTGATATTTCATTTTTAATGAGCTTTATCGTAAATAATAATAACACAAATACAAACTAATGCATGTTTCTGATAATTGTTGTCGGCTTAGAGGTTTCCTTTGTAACAAAGAATTCCAATAGTGCCGATTTCACGGAAAAGTGCGCACTTTCCAAATTGAACGGTACCTTTTTTAAATGTCTCATTTGTGCTTCGACTTTTTCTTCAGACGCAACGAAGGAACTTTTATTTTTCAACGAGTGCTTCAACGCTTTCAGGAAACGGGTTTGCTAACCAGACGACCTGGCACGAGATGACCGTTTCCTTGTATTTCAGGCTTTATGAAACCGGACCTCAATTGTGATTATGGATCAAAATCGTCTACAGGAAGTACGAAATCGCAACATTACAACAGTTAGGAGAAGACTTCGTTCTTCTGGACTACCTTCTTGTGAAAATGGGTCCTTAACTGCACGAAGGTACATTGCGGAGATTTTAGAAGATCATGTAATGCCCACCATGGCAGGACTTGGAGAAGACGACGTTTTTATGTAGGACAACGCGAGACCGCACATTGCCAGAATCAGTAGACAATACTTAGAAGAGGTTGGAATTACCAGGTTACCCTGGCCAGCTAGATCTCCGGACCTGAATCCCATCAAACAGACCTAAAAAACGTATTCAAACCCATACAGCTCTTCCTAATAATGCGTAGGAGCTTAAGGATCTGTTAGTGAGAAAGTGGAATAACATACCACAACATGTAATCCAGAGAAAAATTTAGTGTATGCCCCGTTGTCTGCAAGAAGTTATTAGAGCAAGGGGAGGCAATACACGATATTAGTCATAAAAATTTCACTGATGTTTTACCATGTTCTGTACTTTCCATTTTTTTTTTTTTTTCGTATATGTCTGTTTTATCAAAAATTTGGTTGTTTTCTGCTTTTTCCATAAAAACAATAAAAAACCATTTTTTTTTTCTTTCAAAACAAACATTGATGACAAATAAAAAATACATTATCCTAAAAAAAGGTTATTATTGCACCAGTGGCAAAAATATTCAAAAAACCTGAAATTTTCAATGTGACCCAGATTTTATGATCCTGAGAGTATATCATATATTGCATCAGACAAATATTTTGTAATATTAACTGCCTGTAGTTGGACTTAATAATATCTCAATATGTTAAACTTATCTAATAACTACCTTGTTGTATAATCAGTACAGTAACAGAAGCTGAAATTGTCTAATTAGTATATAGATCTTAATGAAGGGTTCCTATACTGTTTTTTTCATTTTTAAGTCTATTTTGATACTAATTATAAAAAATAACAATATTTAGTACTGTTTAGTATGTCAGTGACCAAATATATAGTGATCATTTGCAGTAATGCATAATAAAACCACACAATAGATCATAAAATAGTACAAAAAACACTATAGTCTCCCACACACCCTAATTAAAACCATACCACATCCTATTTGATGTATGTACCAATCAGACTCAAAACAGCTGCATAAAATATGAGGTGGAACCATCCCTCCAAGATGGATCATCTACAATCTTTGCTCTACAAAGGGGGCAAGTTTGTTCCCTATCAAACCAAGTGGTGACGCAGCTTTCACAGAAGATATGTCTGCACTGGAGTAGAACTGGGGAATCATATTGGTCATGGCAGATGGGGCAATGATCTCCAGCTGTTTGGATTTGATCTTTGCTGGGAGATGAACCTATACTCTAAAATATTGAAATTAATTTATTAATTGTTCAAAGTTTGACACAGAAGTTTAGAATTGTTATAAAACAAGTTTCATGTAGTTTAAAACTTTTTAACTAGTCTAAAATCTTGAAATCAATAATTATACAGTGGAACCTCAATTATCCATCAGGGTACTAGACCAAGGGTATAATAATGGAAAAGACAGTTAAAAAAAATTAAATTTAGAGTACAACACTCAAATTTTATTTGTATGTTTTGTATGACAATATATGACGGATTTGTGTTTATACAATTAAATCAATTTGGTTTAAAGTATTCCCAAATCTTTGTTTGTTTTATTAGAAAAGCACTGCTCAAATTTCTCAATCTTTAAATTGTGATTGAATTGTGAGCCGTGAATAAAAATAAAGATTGTTTACGTAAACATATACTGTGTTAGCATAACTGTACATTTCAGTCAATTTCAACACAAACGAAATGAATTGGTGACTAAATTTTTACTTTTGTATTTAATACAACTTATGTACAAATCCTGATGGTTAACAAAGGTGACAGTTAATGGAGAGACAGATAATCAAGGTTCCATTGTAGTATCAAAACACTTTTTACTTACAACATTCTGTAGGAGCTTCAGACAAGCCAATTTGAGTAACTTAACCCTGGACATCAAGTCTGAACCCTTAGAAATCATATAAAATGCAGACAAGAACACAGCTACTATCTTCTCAGGTCCCTGGTAGGATTCAAGCAAGTAATACAGCCAAGGTTGAATAGTAGCAATGCTTCGGTACATTTGGGATATTGCTTCAATGAATAAATATATTTTTCCCTGAAAATCATATCATTCAATAATTCAAAAACAAATCCTAATTCTTAATATTTATTATTGTTAAAGGGAAACATTTTAACAAAAATAAAACAAAACTTACCCTTTTTTTAAAATCCAGAATAACTCCAGGCAACATAGTTAACAATATTTTAACAGATACAGTCATCAGTTTCAAAGTAAAATCTGTTATTGTTACTATCCATAACAAGTTCCACACAGTCAGAGTATGAGTAAATGATCTAATCAATACCAAATTCAACACTACATTGAAATCATGTAGATCATCAGCAAATACATAATGAATAAATATTAGACAAACTGCAATGTACAGCAGTGACATAGCCAGTACACCAATGCTTCTTCTTTGTCTTAAAACTGTTTCTTTTTTAACTGCAGAATTAGTGTGAGCGAAAGTTATAAACAAAATTACTAGAATAAAAATTCCTTCATGGTAGTCGTAAAGGCTCTTCGCCAGTAATATCAAAATAAAAGGAACATATTTTAATAACACTTTAATAAACTGCTGAGCTTCCACGACATTCTGAGCTCTTTCTGTGTCCTCTGTGTTGTTGTTGTCAGTATTGTTAACAGTGTTATTAAAGTTTTCATTGTCTTGTTGAGGGGGAGCTTCAGGATCCCTGCTGGGTTCAATTTCTAGATTTATATAGTAACTGTCATTGTTAGCTTCCACTGGTGGCCGAGAAACATTCACTTCAGACTGCGGCCTGTTTAGAAAGTTAGTAACTCCGGCGTTTACTGACCTTGCAGTTTCCACAAGAGGTTCTATTTCCCTAATGACATTCGTTAAACTATCCCTCAGCTGTCTTGCACCTTCTACAGTTCGTCTCTGGAATGAAGCAGGTGCTGAGATTGACGGTAACACATTGTTACTATTTGTTTGAAAGAAGGTTCTAGGCTGAGGATGGGTTAAATCCGCCGACTGGCTTCGATGGAAAGAAAAATTCGAATTTGGATTGTTTGACATATTTGTTCATCAGTAAACGCGGAGTCTAAAGTTCGTATACACAATACTAAACAATGTTATATCACGCTAACGCTTGTTCACAACTGTTTATAACAATTTTTGATAATGATCTCGTCGTCATTACTCATTTATTTATTTTCCACATCTGTCAGTGCAGTGTAGTTGTCAAATTTGTCATTGAACGTCAAACGTTAATATACATTTACCATACACATCTTTTTTAATATTAAAATTATTTTAAGTTTTCTTATTATTTGTTCATATTATTTAATATAAATTGGTTTAAAAATTGTGCAATATAAAATATATTATACTACATACTATTATTTTTGTAGTTGTAAGTTGTAATAGCTTTTGATAAATACCACAGCCACCTAAAGCTTACAAGCCGTGAAGTGAGAAAATTGGCAACGTTGGAGGTAGTCCGATAGTGGTCCTATAGCCCTGTGTTTACTTATGAGATTATGCTAATTTTGTTTGTATTTCTTGTATAATTGGTGAATTATTCGATTAAAAAAAAAGGTATGTATTTTTTACGTATATTGTAATAATTGTATGAAGCATTAAAGAATTAGATATATATATTATTCAGACAAATAATACGTACAAACTGTTAAATTCACAAATTCGCTTTAGTAATTACAAACCCCAAGTCGATGTTAATTTATTGGCACAGGGAGTAGTAATATGATATTCTAACATATTTTTTTAATTACAGATGCCGAGACACTGCAGTGTACCAAATTGCAAATCAAATTACGCAACTACTTTAAAGTATGAAAAGGCCCAAAGTACATTCTCTTTTCCCAAAAACGATCACCTTCGTACTCAGTGGGTTAGATCTATTAACCGTGAAGATTTCAGAGTAACTTCTAGTTCGGTAGTATGTAAAAAACATTTTGATGCAACGGATATTATTGAAAGTGAGTCATTCATTGATAAAAATGGTACGGTTCTTCAACGAAATTTGGTTTATCCCAAGTTGAAAGAGAATGCGATACCAAGAATTTTTGAAAACCAACCGTCATATTTATCTAACCCAAAACCACCAACAAGAAAAAATCCTGAAACTAGGCGAGCAGAAATAAGTCTCCGGGAAGAAAATAATATAAAAGAACTCGAAAACAAAGACCTTATCGTGGATTTCAAGGAACTTTTACAAAGTGTTAGTGAGAGGGTTGAGTTAAAAAACTGGCAAATAAAAGTTGTAGAAGAAAGGATTTGTTTTTATTTATTAAATATTGACAATCAGTTTAGTGATGAGTGTATAAAAGTTATTTCAAACATTAACATTACGAAGGAATTACTTGTATCTGTTTATGTGAAGGACATCCAACTGTCACCTCATGATTTAAAATGTATTTTACCATTTGACTGTAAGTTATCGCGTTGGTCACAACTAGAAAATCTGCTGTCCAGGTATTCTTTTTTTTTTGAAAGTCCTATTGACAATAATTTTAAAATAACCAAAATATGTAGTGAAATTGACAGAGTCATAGAAAATACAGATGTAGATAAAATGAAGGGAGTTCTGGCTTTTGTGAAAAATCAGTTACTGTTACTAACAGCAAGTAGGGCAAAATATTCTCTACCAACAATTATTTTTGCTCTTACCATATATAATCAGTCAACATCATGTTATAATATTATTCAGCAGTACTTAAATTTGCCCACTAAAAGATATTTACAAATGATAACATCATCCTTTCATGTATCTCCTGATGATCAATTAGAAAATAATTATTTATCATATCTTGCTTCAAATCTGAATGATCGAGAAAAAATAGTCAATTTACTTGTAGATGAAATATATGTAAATCCTGGAGTTCATTATCACTCAAAACAAATTACTGGTTTTGCTGCCAACAATGATAAACAATTAGCGAAAACTATTCTAACGTTAATGATTTCATCAGCATTTGCACATTTTAAAGAAGTGGTGCGTTTAGTACCTGTATGTAATATTGCTGGTAATGAACTCAAAGACATAGTTCTTGAATCAATTCAGTATATTCAGGACTGTGGATTTAAAGTATTGTGTGTAATTACCGACAACAATCGTTTAAATCAAAACATGTTTGGTCAGTTATCTCCAAATTTTTCCATATCTAATCCTAAGTTTAATAATGAGAATATTTATTTATTATATGATTTTGTACATATTTTTAAAAATATTAGGAATAATTGGCTTAATAAGAAAGACCCAGAAAAAACCTTTATTTTTCCAGATTTTAATAATCATTCAGTTCTTCGAAAGGCATTTTTTAAGGACTTACAAACATTGTACCAAATTGAGATAAACTTTTTAACCAAAAGAGCATATAAACTAAATCATAAATCTATTTATCCAAATAATTTTGAAAGACAAAAAGTGTCTTTGGTAGAAAATATTTTTCATGAAAGTACAATAGCTGCTTTACAGTCATGTAGTATTTATACAGACACAGCCTCATTTTTAGAAATTATTAGAAGTTGGTGGAACATAATTAATGTAAAAACTAAATTTAAAGGACAGGCAAAAAGGAATGATTTGGCTACCCCAATTTTTTCAGATAATGATTTCAAAGTAGTTTTTTTAAAAAAATTTGTGATGTGGCTAGATTCTTGGCATCAAATTCCTGAAGGCTCTTCACTTACAAATGATACATACCTTGCTCTTAAAAACAGCACATCAATTTTGATCAAAGTAATAGAGTATTCATTTAATCATTTAAATATAGAATTTATATTACCTGGCAAATTCCAAACGGATAATTTAGAAGAAAGGTTTGGTCGTTATAGGTACCTATCTGGCTGTAATTATAACATTTCAGTTACTCAAGTGATTGATTCAGAAAAAAAAATTCGAATACAGAATATTCTGAAATCGTCTGTTACTAGTGATTTAACACAATTAAAATTTCAGCCACCTGATGATCTAAATTGTGCAACACTTAATCAGTTCATAGAATGTTCAGAATTTACTTCTATTTTTAATAGTGATTATCTGCGTACATACAATTGTGAGGAATCAAGTCAAATATATATTAGCGGATATGCAGTTCATACTGTACAAAAAACTCTTAAATGCCTTACCTGTAGAGATCTGATTGTACAAAGTATAGGTGATAAGGTAAATGATGAATATTTTGATTATCTGCAACGAGGTGGTTTATCTGTTGCAACAAATGAAGTTCATTATATTTATTATCACTCGTGTGCTCTTTTTGAATACATAATTAAACATCCAGAAACTATGTCACTGTTTTTGTCTCATAAAAATCAAAAATATTTATTGGCTTCTTTAGCCCTCACGAGTTTGGAAAGTGACAATTTTTATATTGATTTTTCTAAAATTTGTGTTTGTGGAACAGCTGTTAGAGAATTATATTTTAAAATTTCTGTGATTTTCTCCAATACTTTGTTAAATAACTTCACAAAAAACAAGAATAATGAAATTATGACAAAGAAACTAACTAAAAGTTTATCTAAAAAGCGCAAGCTTTCAACTTTAAAAAAATAAATACCTGGAATTTCAATAACATTTTTTTAAGCCACTCTTAATAAATATAATATTCGCTCAAGGGATACTAGAATTCAATAAACTGCAAGTTGTTTACAAAAATATTAAAAGAATATTTTCTTTTTTTTTAACGTAAATTATGTAAATAATGTAAGCTGAATGCACTTGTATTACTTTTAAATTCTATTAATATTACACCTCATTGTATTCAATGTTTTGCAGTTTTAATAGATGTGATATATATATATATATATATATATATATATATATATATATATATATATATATATATATATATATATATGTACCTTATCAAACTATTTTGTTCGATTTTTTTACTTAATTTTAACTTTATAGCGAATATTATGATGTTCCTCTTTTATTTATTATTTTGATGGGCTCTTTATAGTCGGACTACTTCTAACAGCTGATGCGGCGTTGCCATTTTTAGTTCACGGCTTGTAAGCTTTAGGTGGCTGTGTAAATACCAATTTTATTGTGAGGTCCATACTGTTCTGTAAGCGAAAAGAATATTGATTAATGGTGTTGACATTAATGTTGCCTTGGTTATGTGTCAAATGTTTGTTGACAAAATTTGTTTGGCAGTTTAAATATTATGGTTTGTCTTTAATGCTTTTTTATTTCCAAGTTTGGTCAATATTTTTTGTATCGAAAGTAATTTTGAAATGTTTTAATTGCAGGAAATGATTTTCAATAGGTGGTTCCGCCTAGTTCATACAGAAATCAACAGTTATGACTGATACAGATGATACAGACGAGCTGTTACTGATTCCTCCTGACTTTTTTGCAACAGAATCAGGTTTTGGACATTCCGAAACAGCCCAACCGTATTACAACATTGTAGATAATCTAATAAAGCAAGTTGGTAGTCTTCAGAATAGAATTAAATCAATTGAATCCTGTGAAAGTTTTTATAGCAACTCTTTAGAATCACTTAGAATGGATAGGCCAAGAGAAAGTTTTAAGAAATGCAATAGTAGCGATGATTTGTCTACCTCTTTTAGTGCTCAAAACAGTCCACAAAAGCCTATGGAATTTAAATTGAATTCTTTACCAAATAGTCCTAATGTTAAAAAATATGTCAATCTTAGAAACCCAAGAGCAGGATTACATTCAAAGTTGTCACCTTCAGCTGCATATTCAAACAAATACACAAGGTCAGGAAAAGATGGCCAACTTCTCAATGAAGTAGACACATTCTTATCAAAAGTAAAAACTATTCAAAGGATAAGTGCTGTGAGGAATTTAGAAAATGACTTTGAAAATTGTGGTACTAAACATAATGAACCTGAAGTTGTAACGCATTTTGAAAGGAGGAATGAGCCTATTAGGCAAAAAACTTGGCAAATGGGAGATGGTAAATATAATGTACATAATTTGGAAACCAGAGTTCAAGAAGCATTAATTGGGCAAAATGAAAGAAGAGAAGAATCAGATGTTCAAACTTCTGCAGACAACTCAAAAGAAAATTCCAATTTTGTTCAAGAATTGCTACAATTCAATGATCAACCTTCTTGTAGCGATAGTAGTTCAGATTCAACTCAAACTACTGCTTATAACAGAACAAAAAACACTAAAACCAACTTGCTAACAGATCCAATACATTCCAATGCCCTTAAGGTTCTTCATTTGCATAAAAAACTTCACGAAGAACCTAGCAAGAAGGCCAGAACTAAAGAAAATGCAGGTGAGCATAAACAAAAAAGTAAACACACAGTTGTGGGTGATAATTTAGGTACACAGTTGAGTTTGTTAAATTTGGCTGATATTTGGAATTCAGAAAACCATACTTTAACCAGAAGTCAACTGACACAAAAGTTACAAGAGGAAAAATATAGGAGACAGGTAAGAAACAAGACAATGATTCTCTTCATTTTTAGCATCAATTTGTTTATTTTGTGATGTGATTTTCTTGATCTTGTGTGGTGATTACTACTTCTAGCATTGTGAAGACTTAATTCAAGAGCTTCAGGTGAAGAATTTAGAACTGCAACAAAAGATGTCAGTGGCGTTAAAAGTTGATGATGCAAAAAACTCAACTATACAAAAATATCAAGACGCTTTGGATAAACTAGTCAGTAAATTAGAAAAATGTAACAAAGATAGAGTAGAACTGGAATTTGAAATAAATAAATTGAAGAATGAGCATATTGATGAAAAAGAAGATGCAGATCAGGTAATATCATTGTTAAATTTATTATTGCCTCTGACATTAATTTGTTTTTTCTATTATTAATTAATAATTCTTGATAATACCTTCATAATATACTTATTGAAAGAAATGTTTTTTCAGAGAGTTACCCACTATGAGAATGAAGTACAAAAAGCACTAAATTTAGCTCATACTAGTCAAGAAAAGACAATCATGTTAGAAAAGAAATGTGCAGAACTGAGCAATGAGCAGCAAAGTTTGGTTCAGAAATTAGAAAATGTGCAAAAAGATTGTGCTAAAGAGTGTGAAAAGTATAGGCAAATGTCTGAAATTTTAGCTCAGAAGGAACTGGAATTAAATGAAGTAAGTATAGTACAATATTTTATATTTAAACTGAGGATCATTATTGACCACTTGACTTTCTCACTAGTCACTTAGGACACTTGGTCGATAAATATGGTCATAAGGTAAATGCACTAGTACTTGACACTGTACCAGTAGTTGACATTTTCCATTTTAAGCATAAATAATAAGCTTTTCCAATTATTTTTAATGTAATTATTACCATCATAGTTAACTAGTGTCATTTATACATCTTCTCTGTAACTGTAGAATTATTTAACTTTGAAACAGAAAATTCCCACCAAATTTTTGTCAAAGTGTTGTGTGAGCTTCAAGTGGCAACAAGTTTTCTAAACAAAAGTATTAAGAAGGTAAGTTTAAAAAAATTAATATTTATTGATTAAATTGTGAATGACTGTAGTTTTAGATATATCAAATATATTATATGAATATTAAGGTAACATCTTGCTAATGTTTTAAGTTTGTTTTATTCTCAAAACAAAAATTAGGCTAGGTGTCAATTACTAACTCACAAATACACAAAAATACTAGTAGTTGACATAGGTGTCAACTACTAACCATTTATACTGAGACTGTAAAAACTTAATATTTTATTGTTATTTTCATTGTATATAATGTGTACACTTATATTTTAAATATCACGTAAATGTATCCACTCTATCTAGTAGTTGATACTATGTCAACTATTGAAACACTTTGGATGTCAACTACTAAAACAAAAATTTTAAATTTCAGTTAAAAATATGCCTCCTATAAAAGGACAAATGTTCCAATATACAGAAGAAGCTATGGAGAAAGCTATTGAGGAAGTTCCATGTAGAAAGCCAGTTTCAGCAACATTTAACATTACACACTAGTAGATTTTGCAGTGAACATGGTATTATATTGGTAGCCCTTCATCCAATTGCAACACATTTGCTTCAGCCAATGGATGTTGCTGTATTTAGTTCTTTGAAAGGGGGTTGGGAAGATGCAGTACACCAGTGGCGGATTGAGAATAAGGCTTCTCCAGTTTTAAGGAAAATTCACTTCTGTCCTCTTTTGAAAAAAGTTCTAGAGGAAAGGTTAAGTACCATCAATTTTAAAAAATGGTTTCCGAAAATGTGGCTTAGTTCCCTAGGATGTTGGTGCGATTATGTTTCACAATGAGAAAATAGACATTTCAAAGAAAATGCAGGAATTGCAGGAAATGAAACAAGGGAAAAACTTCATAGAGAAACATATTGATAAACAAAAACTAGCTCTTTTCAATACAAGCCTAGAATGGAACAATGACAATGAAGATTTATTTCTCTTTTACTTTTACAAAAACATTTGCATAAAATACAGTCTTTTAGAAGAAGAAATAAACAATTTGAAAGCGAAACAAGGTGCGAAAGAACCAGATGATGAAGACAATATTATTGAAGATGCCACTTATATTGAGGACATACCAAATGTTGAAGACAGCCCTAATGTTGAAGACATTTACGTAGAGAACAAACCTGATAAGCCAGTCGAAGAACAGTATGAAATAGGTGAGTTATTAAACCAATCTGAGGCTGAACCAGGTAGAAACATTTCGGATGTTTTGGAAAGTCACACTAGTCCCACTAGGAAAAATCTTTAACATAACAATATTGCTATTATTCAAGACACTTGTGCTTCTTCATTAACACAATCACAAGTTCCATCTTCAGCAATTGAAGAATTACCTACACCTTCTACATCAAATGAAATTATACCCTCTCCTTTTAAATTAATACTGTTTTGGCCTGAACCCAGAGTATCCGCAGTAAAAAAAAGAAGAGTGGAAAAAGTTCCTTCTATGGCTAGTTCAAAAGAATGGCAAACTTATCATGAAAATAAAGAAAATAAGAAGATAAAAGAAAAGAAGAAGAGAAATAAGACAAGAGAAAAGAGAAGAAAAAAACTTTGTTAAAAAACATAAACTGAAAGCGACAAAAAAAAGTAAGAAAAAGGAAGAATCATCAAGTGATAATAATGAATCATAGGTTGAATCTGGTAGCAGTACAATGACAGTAAAACTTCTTTTCGAATTAATGATAAAGATGTGAGCGTAATAACATTTCATCAAATCCTCAAAAACCTGCAAAAGGATGCCCCAACCTCAGATACTCATTTCATGAGAAAGAATAAAGTATCAGTTTCCAGATTCAGTGGATGTGGAAACATCTAACATTAAAGTTCTCCTGTAATTACATATTCTTAATAAAATTATCAAAATATATTTGGGTGTCAATTACTAAACCTTGGATGTGTCAACTACTAATTTTTTTTCATTTTGTTGTGTCAACTACTGACACTTTTGCAACAATTTTTGTAAATTTTATAAAAAATATTTAGAAAGCAGAATTGTCCAAAAATTTATTTGTTAAATATTCAGGAAGGATTAGATTACCTGAATATACATATATTTTTTATTTAATTTCATCTACATCGGTTTGAGGCTAAATAATGTTTTTTTTTCTTCTTATAATGTCAACTACTAGTACATTTACCTTACTGGGGAACATGACTGTATTGTAGCAATCAGGCTATTTGTATTATATGTCTATGCTGAGAAGGGTTCCTTACGTAACCTAACATAACCACGTCCTAGTCATGCAAGATTCAAGATACATAGTTCTCATAATCATTTACCTTTCAGAATAAAACACTGCTCTCAGCTGCCAGAAATGAAATCACTCAAAATAGACAGGCAGTGGATATGTTTCAGACTGAATTTAACAAAATGAAGAACGAATATAATCAGATAGAAAACAATCTAAAAGAAGAACGATCACAAAAGACACAGCTCAACAAGAGAATACTGGAATTAACAGAAGAGATAGAATCTTACAAAAAACAAGTGGTATGTATTAAGTTATTAAATATTATCTTGAGCTTTTTTTTTGTAGTGGTCTTAGTGATTTTTTCTTTTTCTTTTAGAATTCACTGCAAGAAGAACTATCAAAGGTGAAAAAGCAGTCAGAATTGAACAAAGTAGATCTAAGAAACTTTTATCAAGGTCAAGTAGAACTTTTAGTGCAGAACAAGCTCAAGGAGTTCCAGTGCCAATTGGACGAACAAGAAAATAAGTTCAAGGAAGAAGTCACCAAAAGAGAAAAGGCGATTTCGAAGTCTGCTGCCCAGTTCCTTCAACAAATATTAGAAAAGTAAGAAAAAACTATTACTGATCTTTGCAAATTGCTCTACATAGTTTTCTTCTATCAGTATGTTTGTGGACATTAATATTACTGCTTCAAAACCACTATTTTTCTCTCCCTTTATTTGTTTCCTTTATTCTGTTTCATTATGCTTGTTTTTTGTTTTTGAGTAATTTACTTTTTATCTGGTTTTTCGACAGGAAACCTGTTTTTTTTTTGTATATTTCTATTACTTAATACAAAATAAACAATTTCCAGGCATTCAGTGGAAGTCCAGTTGCTGGGAAAGAAGCACCAAGAAGAAACTGAGATATACCAAATTCAGATCAAACAGCACAAACAGCAGGTTGAGAGTTTGCAATACAAACTGGAGCAGTTTCAGAAACGTAGTTTGGCCATTGCCAAGCAAGTACCTAAAGTGATGGAGTCGCAGTTGAATGAGGCTTTGAGAATTATCACGCACGGCAAAAGTCCGATCCTTAATGACGATTTTGCATTTAATACGATGGGTAAGCACTGACTATTTCGGTATAAATAATGATTTATGGAAATTTATTGTTTCTAATCTAACATCTAACCTAACCTAACCTACATTAGTCTTTTTTAAAAAGTTTTTAATGCTTATTCCATACTCTAACGATTTTTCTGACTCCTTTGGAGCTTAGAAGACACATTTCTCATGTTCTTTGAAAGAATTTGACGATATTCCCACGCATTCGACATTTTTATTATGTACAATGGCCTGCAAATTATCTTGACAGTTTTTGACACTAGTTAAATGCTTATTGGTTACTTTTAATATTTTTTAAAGATTTTTTTTTGTCGCTTTTCAAGTACTTTTGTTGTTTTTTCGACCTTTTTGACTACTTTTGATGCCAGTCAAATGCGTTCGACACTTATTCGACATTTCCAACACGTTTGACGGTATTACGCTGACTCTTAAATTATTTTGACGGGTCTATGACATTTTTAACTCTATTTCAACACTTTTCCTAACAGTTTTTACGATTTTGACCCTTTTTACTCTATATCAACGCATATTGGATACTTTTAACTTTATTTCCACACTTTCCCAAACATTTTAACACTTATTAGATACCTTTTCGACACTTTTGTCTACTTTTACTTTGATCATTTTAAATACGTTTTATGACCTTGGCATGTCTCTTATATCTAACTTAAAATAACCTTTGTCAACCTAACCTAACCTAATGTAACTTACGGACTGTTTCGGTCATTAAATGTAACAGTAATAATAGAGACTGCATCTTACAGATGAGCTGAACACCTGGAAAACTAAATCGTACAAAAACCTCGAAGAAGTACTATCTCAATACGAAGAAGAGGATACCGCCCCACAAAAGAAGTCCAAAAATGAGGATGCCGGTTGTGCGAGTGACGGAGGAAACGGAAACCACCATTCGGAACAGCAATTTGAGACCCCCGTGTCTAGTAGAAACCCAGGGAGTCGGGCTATATCCAACAACGACATTCAACAGTTTTTAAGCCTTGTAAGTAACATTTTTTTATTTAATCGGTCAATTTAGTCACTGTCTGTTCGGTTAGATCATTTATAGTGTGAGTAACTGTGAAATTTGGCAAGTGTCATCAAGAACCAGTCGGACTTTTTAAAATTATGATCATCAACAAAATTTGTAGCTCAAATTTTAAATAAAAGAACAACAATATGAATTGTTGAAAAAATTATAAGAACAAATTAAAAACAACGAGAAAAACGATACAGAAAGAGATAGAGAGGGTCAAAAAGAGCCAAAGGGGAGCTAATTTTTTTGTCAGTTTTTGCTCAAATAATTAACATTCCAGTAAAGTTGTAAAAACGTGGCAACGGCATAGAACGTTAACTCAGCAGTTATTACTCTTCGTATGCGTCCTTTTTGTCTTTTATCTACCATTTACCCCTTAAATCTTTCTTGAATTTGCATTTTCCTTGTTTATTTTTAACCAATAACAAACTTAATTGTTAGATTTTTTCATTTTTTTACACCTCTACAATAGTTCACCATTATTTAGTTGCCAGAAGTATTCTGATCATTTAGAAAAAACACCGTCTACGAGAGTTAGGTCAGTATTCGTCGCCAATGACAATGCAGCATTTAGCAAGTCGGTGAAGTTGTACTAAAAAAAAAGAAATAATAATATTTACTGCATTTAACTTAAATTAAACATCATGTAACTTTTTTTGTTAAGAAACAATCAGTTCAGAAAACGAATGTTAGCGTTAAAAGTGGAAAAATATCTTTCAAAATTAATTCAAACTGCATTAACACTTTATTATCGGTTAGTTGCCAATATAGCTATTACAATGCTGATAACTACAGTACTTTTAACCAACTTACACCTCTAAACGATTAACGGAATTCGCAGAAAACATGTTGTTGTAGTAAAAGGCACGGTAAACTGCACGGATGTTCTTCATAATCTTTTTAATTACTTACTTTGTTTAGAGTATTAATTTTTGCCTGTATAATCAGTTAGAGTTAGTTTGTATAAAATGAGGAACAAAAATTTAAATGGAATTTTAAATATTATTGTTTATTGGGCTAATAATGAGTGTAGAAATATAATGGTTAATCAGCTATACAATTATTTTGTTAATAACATTATAATAGTGTACTTACTGATTATTTAACACGTTCCCTGCCACGTTGGTCCCATGGGACCAATACTAGTGTTGCCTTAATGCGCCACGTTGGTCCCATGGGACCAACACCTTTTTTAATGCTTGTTAGGCTGCTGGTTCATAATTATGTCTAATATCTCAGACTAAAAGATCCAGGTGCCCTAGAAAGTATATACTGTAAGAATAGCCCATTGAATTATTTGAAAATAGTATCTCGTGGTCCCAGTTATTTGATAGGAAGTGATAAAAATAAAAAAATTTAATTTTTTGTAAAATGTATTTAGAAACTCTTACAATCTCAGAAGATAAACTCATAAAATCAACACTTTTAACTTGATATAACAATATACAGTCACAGTTGACATAGACCGATATAAAAATTTTAGGTTATGCAGTGCCATGTGCTTCTCACTGCAGTGGGACCAACGGCGCGCAAAGGCATCGAAGTGCCTCAACCGGCCACGTTGGTCCGATGGGACCAACGCGGTTTTTTAAATTTATTTCGTAAATAAACAATAATTTTGACGAAATAATCAAACGGCAAGGCTTGGTATACAAAAAACTACAGTATAATAACATTGGCCTGTAGAGGTATATATACGAAAATATGGCTGGCAGGGAATGTGTTTAATTTATAAATCATCATCATCGTCACTAAATTCACTACCGCTATCATTATGCAAAACGATAATCATTATTTATCTCATTATCATTATCTAAAACAGACTAGCTAACAGTTTATTCTCAAGCCATTTAACAAACATATCTGCATTCATATTTTCTTGGTCAATCAGCAGATTTTTATTTTGAAGAAAAAATCAAATCTGAGTTTTCTATAAAGTCTTCTTTCTCTCCTGCATGAAGAATGATGACTTTTGCCTTCGCTGTCTGTGTGTTTTATTGAGTTTATGATGTCGTCTTGCCAAATTCCTTTAATTCCGCCCTTTGCAAATATCCATGTTTCATCTAAGTATACGAATGTTGCATTTTCAAATTTAAGTCTAGTATATTCTCTCAAAAATTTAATTCTTTTGTGAACCACACTACTTCTTTGACATAAAAGTAACATATTATTTTCTTTTTTGAATTTAAATCCTAAATTTCTCAACATTTTCCAAAGGCTAATCCTCTTAATTTCAGAAACTTCTCTGTTTTGACTCTGTGAAAAAGACTCTCTTTCCTTCTTTAATTTGGCCTCTCAAGATGGTACTTCCTGTCTAACAATATTTTTGCCCCCACTACCTTTACATTCCCTCTTTTGTCTTTTTGCTCGATGGTCTGAATACACGTTTGAATAATAACAATATACTGAGTTTAGATCAATATGACTAAAACTTTCTAACTGTTGTGCTTGAGATGTAAAATATAATAGAACCGGTATTTAAATAACATTATGCAAGAATACTATTTATTAAAAAAATATATGCAAAACTATGAACAACAGGTTAATGACACATATTTATTTTAAACCTAAAATTTAGCGAAGTATTAAATAATTATGGAGAACACCAGTGCAGTTTACCGTGCCTTTTACTACAACGGGAGGTTTTTTGCGAATTCCATTAATCGTTTAGAGGTGTAAGTTGGTTGAACGTACTGTACTACCGGTTGTTTATTATTCTCCATGAGTAGTATTAGCGATATATTTGAAGGGATGGAAGTGTATTGAAATAAAATATGAATTACTGGAAAATAATAATACGGAGGAACCATAACAAAGATAAGACAAACGAAAAAAATATTGCAATTACCGGATCATTTTTTAAAAAATTTCAAATACTTTAAAGGCGAACTGATAATAATAAAAATATTTTGCCAAGAAATACCAAAATAAGCAACAGAAACGTAAATTCTAAATATAAAAAAGCTTGTGTGGAGATCAGCATTAAAAGTTTAACCATTAATAAGAAAAAGAGAAGATATTACATGTCTGTGATTACATTACTGTGTCCTAACCATGGTTGCATACAGGATATGAACCTCTATCGTATAATAAGTTGCATATTCGATAAAGATAAGGGGCAAAAAACGACAACAGTTTGTCATTTAAATTCTAATATAAAAAATTTAATTTATTTTTATCGTGATGTTCATTACTTTCAGGTTAGATATAAAAAAAATATTTGCCAATGATTTTGATATGTTTTCTTCTTTAGGGCCTCAGTTACATTTTCTTGCTCGTATGTCAATTCCCAAGAGTCTTCAAGAAGATACTTTTAGCTTGTGATCGCATTTATTGTATACACTAAAAGAAAAAATAAATGTGCTGCCTTTCTACTCGCAAATTTTTATATAAATCATTTTCTTCTTAGTTCGATGCACGTCATCGATGACATTTCTACGTCGTCGCGGTATAACCGACTGTTTAGAAATTACCTATGGATGATTTTACAATTATTATAAATAATCTTACTTGTTTACGACATATTCTCAATAAAATAAAATTTATGTTTTATAATTCCCCACATTCTATACTATTTCGATCACAAGGCAACGTTGTGCTATAATGGCAACGTCAAAATTGGATGACGTGCAACGGATTGACGAGGAAATGACTATAGTTTTTTATTAAACAGAGAAGAAACATATCGATGATGTTATGTATACTGCATAAAAGAGAAAAGTGCTTCAGATTTATTATAAAACGAATGAACAATAAATTTAATTATCAGTTATGAAAAATTAAAAACCTCTAGTTAAAATTTAGTCATTATCAATTCTTTTTTGTGTCAAATATTTGTCAAATTCTCTTTAAATATTTATTCCGCAACTTTATACCAACACTTCTGTAAAGTTTTGGCGTTTCCAAACTTTGAAGCCTTTCTTTAATTTTTATTTAGTTATTTTGCTTATTCAACCGTTTTAAGACTGTTTCAATGATTTTCCAGTTTTACATCCTTTGACGATGTTTAAATGTCTTTGACGTTTTCTCGATACGTTTGCAACGCGCATGAGGCATTTTCGAAAGTTTTCGACGTGTTTCAAACCTTTTTGATATCCATTCAATATTTTTATGGCGATTTTTACAATTTCGGCTCCTATTTGAGGTTTTTTTCACATGCTTAATGCTTAATGCTTTTAAAACGCTATTGACAACCTTTTTGACATCCCTAAAACTTTTTCGATGCTTTTCAAACGCCTTTGACGCTTATTCGACATTTTAACGCCCGTGACGTTACTTGACACTTTCAGAAGCCCTTAGCGACACTTTTAGACGCGATTCATATATTTTTATGGTTACTCGATAATATTTTCTGCGCGTTTGATGCGTTTTAAAAGTTTTCCAAATGCTTTTCTAGATTAGTCCATCCTTTTCACGCTTGACGCTTTTCCTACGTTTTGCACACTGCTTTTTACACTTTTTTTAAGCTCTCTTGGCGCCTATTCAATACAAGAATCTGTTTTTTAACCTATTGAAAGCTGATAAAGCTTATTCGACATTAGTGACATTTTTTGATACAAGTTATTCAACATTTTTCATTATCGTTAAGCTTTTCAAGCTATTTTAACTCTTATTCGATTATTTTACACTTTTCTGGGCACTTCTCTAAGCTTTTACGTTTTATTTTTGACACCTTTTTTGATAGTTCTACCAGCATTTCATACGTTTGATATTAGCGTATTTTATACTGTTTGCCATTTTTTGACGCTTATTTGAATATTCTTTTTTTCAAACGCTTTTTGACACTATCAAGACTTTTTTGACGCCATTCAAAGGGTTTCGAATCTTATACGAAATTTTCCCGACCTTTGTAGAACTAATTTTATTCATATTCGCTTATTTTAGAGCTTTCTCGGTGCCTTTTTTTAAGTTTTAGTCTTTTTTGAATACTGCTGACCATCTTTCTTTTTTGACACTGCTTTTCAGTAATATTGGACACGTATGAAGCATTTGGCGCTTTTTAGACACTTTTCACATTATTGTGGCGCCTTTTCAACACTTTTAACGAGTTTTTGAAGGTTATCCAACGATTTCAACGCTTTTTAGACACTGTTGATACTTTTTCGATACATGTGAAACGCCTTTGACACTCTTTCTACATTGTAACATATTTGATGTTTTATCGACGCCTTTTGAACTACTTGTGACAATTAACACTTTCAAAGTATTTCGGTGCTTTTTTAAAGTTTCAAACGTCTTCAAACGTTTCAAAATTCGGTGAGGATTCAAACCCTTATGATGTTATTTTGACACATGTTGATTGCTTTTTGGGCGCTTGTTCAACGATTTTCAAGCTTTCTTCACAATTTCAATATTTTTCAACGTTTTTTAAAACTATTTTTGGTCTATTCGACATTTTTAATGCTTTTTGAAGCTTATTTGACATTTTTAGCGCTTTTCCGACGCTTTTTTTTATGAATTTAAATACTGCTTGATATACGCTTGATATAACGCTCATATATCAGCAACTAGTCAGATAATGTGCTGAAAAAAACTCAAAAAAGCGTAAACTGTGGCCGCCATTTTGTGGAAGTAATCATCACTGTAAGTGGTAGTGGTTTAATACTAAAACACAAAATTTGGTGAAAAATCTACTAATTTACTGCCGATCATCAATTTTGGAAGTGCTTTTGTATTGATTGATGATACAATACGTCAGAATTTTGTTATTCGATTCTTTCCATAATGCTCATGCCTACATTTGTCTCATTTAAGTGACCGCATTTACTCGTTGAGTAGATAATGCAAAACGTTGCAATTATTTAAAAAATTGATCTGAAATTGAGTGGAAATTGATTTGAAAAATAATTTTTTCCTTCAGTTATTGAATAAAGCATCCGGTAATCCAAATCAACAGGAAACAAACAGAGAACCCGAATATCTAAGTTTGGATTTGAACGAGAAGTTTCCGTACTTTCAAGTAAGTATAAAACACTTTAAACATTTACAATATGTTCACATTAGACATTTTTTTATGCATGCATTGATAAATAGTTGTTTTAAAAACTAGTTTTCTTACAATTAGAATACTGGTTATGGCGTTAATAAAAATTCATAAAATTCTTGTAGTCTAAAAATAGAATACAAATAAAATCTTCTAAGGTCCTTAAAGCTGTCTGATTCTATCAAAGAAGGCCATATTTAATACCTCATGAGCACCGATAAATGTTTGCATGAATGATCCTCATTTGATGTTCACTTCTTAATATGTAATTATGTATATCTGAGGGCATGTTTTATAAATTGACAATAATGAGCCGGAATATTAAACATCTCATTTTTTAGGATAAGGACGACGGAAAAGACGCCCAAAAAGGATCACATAGAGACCGCAAAGGGCTAAAACCACCTTGGAAATAAAACAAGATTGTTAGATTTTTATATATTATTTTTTAGTTTTATATAAATATTATAAAATATAATAAATATTTTCTTATACATATTTGTCCTCTTATATATTTTATTAAACCACTTATTAAAAACAACGAAAATAAATCTACATAGAGACCAGACAATAATTCTGACGTAAACGATACAAAAAGACGTCTTAAGAGCTATATCATTCAGTTTTAGCTAGACAGGTAAGTTTTCAGTTCTTTGTAACAGTTGTTTCTGTCTTAATAATTTATCAAGTATTTAAAGTCGAAAAGATATTTAAATCATCAGTAATCTATAATAGAGGCGATACCACAAAATAAATAACAATCAGAATGCCCACTCTCAGATGCCGCCTTTGAAGTGTGTCAACAAGCGATCGCCATATTTTAAACGGAAACACAGAGTCGGATTGATAATTTAGTAAATTCGAAATAATTTAAACTATTCTCCAACTAAAAGTACGACATAAAAATATTGCATATTATGTATATGATTACCTTAAATCAATTAAACCGGGTTAATTTTTCTATGCACACCAGATAAAATGGTTCAATATTGACTAATAAAAAAACTTTATTCAAATAAAAGGCAGATATCCAGCATAGTTTTATTAATTAAATATTGCCCATGTATTTTCGCTTCCTAGAGCATCTTCAGGGGTATTTCGTCAATTTTGGCCTATCCAACAAGGTGTAATAAACGCTCTGTCACCCGTGTAACAGGAAAACACTCACTGCACAATGAAACAAGCGAGAATGGGGAGTTTTTGATAAATTTTGCCACCAGTAAAAACATGGTTATAAGCTCCACATGCTTCCCACATAAAGACATACACAAAATGACGTGGATCGCACCAGATGGAACCACAACCAATCAAATTGACCATGTGATGATAGACAAAAGGGCAGCCAGTAGTATCTCTGATGTGAGAACACGACGAGGAGCATGCTGTGGATCAGACCATCTTTTACTGCAAACCAAATTTAGGTGCAGAGTTAACAGAGAAAGAAACGAAAGACAACAAAGAACAAACAAGCTAGACCTGGAAAAACTGAAGACTCAGGAATGTAGAGAGAAGTTCGAGCAAGAAGTCACAAATGAGCTAAGGACACAAGAACTGCACTCCATAGAGAGCAAATGGAATAATATCAAAACAGCAGTGCTGACAGCAGCAGCGTCCACCGTGGGAAACAAGAAAAAGAAGAGAAGAGGAACATGGTTTGATGACGAGTGCAGGCAAGCGATAGAAGAAAGAAACGAAGCGCACAAAATGTACATAACAAGAAGAACACGGGAAAGACGAACATCATTTGAAGTCGCAAGACGGAAAGCAGACAAGATATGCAGAAACAAAAAGAGAGCTTATGAAAATGGACAAATAGAAGAAATGGAACAAAATTTCAAAAAAAACGAAATTAGAGGAGCTTACGAATACCTAAAAAAGATAAAAAGTGGATATAAACCTCAAACAAACCTATGCAAAGATGAAAGTGGGAAAATAATCAGTGACCAACAGAAAGTCACAGAAACCTGGAAGCATTATTTTCAGACCCTACTTGGAACACAAGTAGATATGGAAGATGAAATGGGTACGAACCATGTAGAAGAGAACGAAGTTGAAGTAGAAGCTCCAACCATAGAGGAAGTTCTCGAAGCTATTAAGGCCCAGAAAAACAATAAAGCCCCGGGAGTTGACGAGATTCCAGCAGAACTGTATAAGGTAGGTGGCAACCACCTATCAAGTCATATCCACGAGCTTATCAAAGAAATATGGCAAGAAGAGAAAATACCCGACGAATGGAAGAAAAGTATAGTATGCCCAATCTATAAAAAAGGAGACAAACTCCAATGCAAAAACTACCGTGGAATTTCTCTACTATGTACAGCGTATAAAGTCCTCACGTATATTATAAACCAGCGACTCCAACCACTAGCAGAAAATATTGGAGAATATCAGACGGGCTTCAGACGGGGAAGATCGACAATGGATCAAATATTTACAGTCAAGCAGGTCTTGAGCAAATCGTGGGAACACGACATTGATGTTCACAACGTGTTTGTAGGCTTCAAACAGGCATACGATTCAGTCAAAAGGGACAGACTATACTATATATTGGCAGAATTAGCAATGCCACATAAGCTAATTAGACTCATTAAAGCCACAATGGATGAAACTCAGGCATGTGTACGAATACAAAATAACTGGACAGACTTTTTCAAAATCTCGCAGGGACTAAAGCAGGGAGATGGGCTGGCACCAACATTGTTTAACCTGGCACTGGAGTATGCGGTCAGGCAAATGCAAACTGGACGAGAAAACCCACTGACCAACAAAACGGTTCAACTGGCTGCCTACGCCGATGATATTAATATTATGAGTAGAACATCAACAGGAGCACAGGAAGCATACGCAGAGTTAAAAACACAAACGAAAAGGCTAGGTCTGGAAATTAACACAGAAAAAACAAAAATAATGGTACAGACGAGAAGAAATATAATCCCACAAAACATTATACATGAAGATGACATTGAAACGGTTGGAAAGTTTACATACCTGGGAGTAGAAATATATGCCGATGGAGCAGAGGATGGAGAAATACGAAAAAGGATAACGCAGGCAAACAAAGCTTATTTTGCCATCTCCCATATATTTCGGTCTAAAAGTGTCCACCGAAATACAAAGATGAGAATATATAAAACTTTAATTCGGCCAATAGCATGTTATGGCAGCGAAGCATGGGTCCTGAAAGAAACATCCAAAAACAAACTCGACACATTCGAAAGAAAAGTACTGAGGAGAATACTAGGACCTGTGAGGGAAAACGGAATCTTCAGAATTCGATATAACAACGAGCTTTATCAACTGTATAAGGAAACACCCCTGTCAGGCTTCATTAGAATACAAAGATTTCAATGGGCCGGACATGTGATACGAATGGAAGAGGATAGGCTACCAAAACGAGCACTGAACGCCAGAATGCAGGGAAAGAGACCAGTTGGAAAGCCAAGAAAGCGCTGGGAAGACACAATAAGCAGCGACGCACAAGCACTTTTAGGAGTCCGTGTATGGAGAAGAGCAGTCACAGACAGACAAGGGAGGCAAAAAATAAAGGAGGCCAAGGCTCATTTTGGGCTGTAGTGCCGTAGAAGAAGAAGTCACCCGTGTAACATCCACGTCTTTAATGTTAAGGGATGCTTATCTCTGCAAGCGGAGGCAAGGCTTGCTGGTCCGACTAGTCTGAACGGACGTGATTTCGCCCTCGCGGATTTACAAAAGGGTAGGGAAAATTTACTCGTCACAGTACCCAGACGTCGCGCCTTACCCCTAGAGTTTTCGCTGATCCGTCTGCTCCACGTGTTAAATGGATCATACGATGGTGTGCCCTGCTAGCTCAGCTCAATTCTTATCGCTGGTGTGTCGTTTCTTTGTATTATTTTCCAACGAAGGGCTATGGTTTCGTAATTTTTAAACATTCGGGCTGGCCTGATATCGAAACTTGTGTAATACACTTAAACTAGGTCGAATTTCCATTCTTTGTTTAATTTGAAATGTATATGTTAAACTATGTCGAATTATTTTTATTCTTTATTTCATTTGGAGTATATAATAATTATTTAATTATTATTATTATTCTTTTCTAGGCTAACTACCCCTTATTTAGTTTCTTTTATTTTCTTGCTATGCTGACTTGTTACATACCGCGCTAACTGATTAACGATTGCGCTTGGGTTGGGGTTGTTTCCCTTGGGTATGTGGCTGATACATTACAAAGGCCAATTTGAGTTAGTGTAAATGTGTAACAGTTTAATGTAAAAACCAGGGTATAGTGCTGTAATGTTATTGCATGTTAGTTGTAGTGAATTAGTGATCGATAAAATAAGAGTAAGCCATAGGGTAAGCCCTTAGACTTAATTTCTTGCTGTTTATTAAGTTAGGTCAAAAAATAACTGATAATTGGTCGTTTGTGACCAGATAGCAGTATATATACAACGCATAGGTATTATAAAAAAAAAACAGATAAAATTTCGCTGAACAGCACTGGTTCCGTTTAAAACGTGGCTGATTCCATCTGCGCGAACGAGATGTGCGTACTTATCTTGACAGGCAAAGTGGGCTTTCTGGTTGTTTGGGCATTTTGACCGTTTTATTATTCTGTGGCGATACTAACTTCATAGTAACAGTATAGAAATGAAAGATATATCTTAAAACAAGTGATTATTCGTCAAACAGGTTATTCGAATTCAGGTTTAAATTTGAAAAGAGGTTATTGAAATTTTGAAACAAAAAATAAAACCAAACATTAAATAAATAAAAATAAACATAAATTAAACAAAAATTCAGAAGCATCAAAGCAAATTCAGGCTTAAAAAACTGAATTATATATTAAGTCAACAAAACCACGTGCACACGTAATGCCATTATAATATATGGTACAAAAGACAGTACCGTTTTAAGGAAAAATATAGCTATATTCGGTTTAACCGGTAATTTTTAACTAGAGACGTAAGTTTGCAAATTTCTGTAACTGTTGTTTCAGTCATAATCATTTAAATTATTGGCTGATAAGATTGCTTAACAGACTTCTCATGAATGATAATTAATTTGAATTAATTATTAAAATTTTTATTTGAAAAAAATCTAATATTTTTGTTGTTGGGAAAATGGTTAAAGTTTGTTATAAAAGGGGTAATTCTGTGAAGGTAAATCGAACAGATATCTAAGACGTGAATAATCTATAAACGAGGCAGTAGTAATTTCATCTTAAGGGGCAGGTAGGTTCATCTTAAGGGGAGGGGAGTTCTGACAACTGGAGTAATATATTAAAAAAAACCAATTTATTTGAATTATTTGTGAACTAAATTTGTCAAATAAAAGTACGTGAAGATATCCCATATACATAATTCATTATTCATTATGGTGATGTTTCATAGGATGACGTCTAGTAGCCACGACTGGTCTGTTAACCAACAACGAAGGTGGAATATCACTAATAGTAGAATTACAGTCTGACTGTTGCATGTCAAACATATACGACAGGTCTATATCGTATCTGGGCAACTTGTCTCTGAGATACGATATGACATTCTTTCCTAAAGTCGGTTCTCGACTCATTATAAAGCTGGAGAGATACCTAGGCACCTTGGATTTTTCTGCGCAGTGCAATAAAAGAGCCCATGATGTATAGTCTGAGTCTAAAACGTAGGTATTGTATACTCCTTCATCTGAAAATACAAAATCGGTATTCTTGATATAAAAGTTATCACACGAACAAGTTAAAGATCGGTGAGGGAGTTTTAGTTCTTTGATATATGATAAATAAAACAGTTTATTATAGTATCCACAACGATGTTACATGTGTCTACACATTATGTCATTGCATGTCCGATTTCCCCCCAAAATAATCTACAAAGTGGGCAAAAGTAACCACCCGATATTCTTTTGCTGTATTTTTTTTTAATGAAAAAATTTTGGCCTGCTTGTGAAATTTGTTTAGTTAATACCATTATAATTTATTCCATTCTTTCAGTCAAGAAATTTATATGGCCCAAGTGGCTGCCGCCAGAGTTAATAAACATAAGGGCCTGTTTTATGGCATTTTTCATCCCTCTTGTCAAAACTTCATTCTCGCACTCCTGACGAATATTCTCCTTAAGCGATTCAAGAGTACGAGGCTCTTGACGTATATGCGCGACTTCAAAAAATTCCATAAAAATACGTCTGGAACGGTTAAATCGGATGATCTAGCCGGCCAATGCTAATGACCGAAACGGGAGATTATGCGACGCGGAAATGCTTCCTTCAGAATATTGCTTATGGCTCAAGGAATGTGCGCTGTTGCATCATCCTGTTGGAACCACATGTTCTCCAGTCCAAATTCATCCAATTGAGGCAGAAACAATGCGGTAATCATGGCTCTGTAGCGTGTGCCGTATACAGTCGGCGCCCAAAGAAAAATGATCTGTGGTCTCCTCCAGCGTAAACAGCATACCACACAGTAACTTTGAGCAGGTGTAAGTGACAAATTGTCCTTATCTTCGTTGAGATTTGACTGTGTTTGGCAGTCAACAGCTAACCGATCTGCATTTTGTAAAGGAAAATCTTAAACCTTTCACCAAAATTCTGCATAGAGACCGCCGGCTAACGCTCAATTGCGTGATATATCGTCTTGTCCCAGGTTCCTCTTTGACATCTTGGGTAACAGCAGCGATATTTTGAGCAGAACAGCTGCTCCAGGGCTAGCCAGCTTTGGGAGTATCTCGTGTTGCTTCAGTCTCTTCAAAGTGAGTGGCCAAACTTGTGTTTGTCCTATTGCAACGAAATTCACTCTGCCTCAACACAACCGACGAATTATTGTTTAAAAAATGGAAACAATTATTCCGCATTTCTCGATTTGTAATCTACGTTTGTTTTGTCGTCTTAGCGGAAGTAAGACCTATAAAATTGTCTACTCCGCTTTACGCTCTGCACTAGGGTATTCGTGTGTAGTATACGAAATACCCTAGGCACTTATCCAATTTAGATTCGGATTATAGTTTATTCGTCTTCCGGGTTTGGACCGTGTCATTTGTGAGTGACCCAAAAGTGGGTTCATCTCGACGTTTTGCTACAATTGTATGTAGCTTCTTCAGGAGAAAAAAGAAAAAGAAATCAAAAGAGAGGAAGATGGGTAGTTAGCAACGGTAACTCAGTTACTCAACGCAACCAGAGGCGAATACTAACTACCAAGATGGGCATTTGGTCACAGTAACTCAACTACTTAACGCAGCCAGAGGTGAAAACCAAATGTTAGGACAGGGATTCACGTTCAATAGCTCAGAACACTAACACGTCGAGAGGCGGGGAGTGAATCCGACGATTACTCCGCTACCGCTCTATTTATAGTCGCGGTGACCTATCGTGTCGGGACGTATCGGCCACTCCGTGGCGCGAACGTCAAGAAGCGCGCGCTGGCCAATTATGTGGCTGCATCGTGGTAGCGGGACCGGACGGCGGCTCTAGACTGAGATTCCAGATGGGAGACAAGTAGTATCCTTCCTCTCGATTGATATTATGTGGATTTTTTCGGATCTCTAGAGATTCGCGGATTTTCCTGGAATAAAAGAAGGGGCTCTTAGAAATAATATGGGTTTTTTCGAACAATATGGAATGACCGGCTTCTTGGCAGTGTTCTGCAACTGCAGAATGGGAGAAAATATACCCGATACGTCCCGACACGACAGGTCACCGCGACTATAAATAGAGCGGTAGCGGAGTAATCGTCGGATTCACTCCCCGCCTCTCGACGCGTTAGTGTTCTCAGCTATTGGACGTGAATCCCTGTCCTGGCATTTGGTTTTCACCTCTGGCTGCGTTAAGTAGTTGAGTTACTGTGACCAAATGCCCATCTTGGTAGTTAGTATTCGCCTCTGGTTGCGTTGAGTAACTGAGTTGCCGTTGCTAACTATCCATCTTCCTGTCTTTTGATTTCTTTTTCTTTGTTCTCCTGAAGAAGCTACATACAATTGTAGCGAAACGTCGAGATGAACCCACTTTTGGGTCACTCACAAATGACACGGTCCAAACCCGGAAGACGAATAAACTATAATTCTGACTCTGGCCGTGGAAGCCTACGATTTCATTAGATTCGGATGTTGATATAAAATTGAAGTGGGACTGTGTCTTGAAAAGGACACGTAGATTTTCTTACATGAACAATAATACTTTGTAGGTTTCTTATTTGCACTTGCACCGAAGAAATATAATAAAACACAGTTTTGCAGTAGACAAAACAACCTCAGAGTCTAAGGCTGGAAGGTGGAGGCAGAGCCCCGCTAGTCGGCTCCCTTGAGTTTAGGGCTCTAGTAGAGACCTAGGTAAAATTGGAACTCAGACTGGAAGTGTCTTTGGCTTGGAATTCAACTAATATTTATACATAATATTTTACAAGATTTCCAAGCCAAATGACGAATGGGAAATTAGAAAAAGGTAAGGTGGGCGAGTTGATGCGCGCCGAAAATGCTCATTGGTCAGTTCTGACTGAGCACTTGGCGACAGTTTACTTCACAACTGTCAAAACCGAATTAACATTTGGCGCCTTCTTTAAAAAGTATAGCGTTGTCCAATATGGTGATTACTTTTGTCCCACCTTGTACAACAGTCTAATCAGGTGTGCAATTCTAAATAGGAAACTCTTGAAACTATTAAACACAATTAGGCAATTCACAACATTGGTTCTCTATTGTATTAATACTTACAAGTGTCTTCAGAATGGACCCAATGTGCTGGCTCCTCAGGATGTGGCATGACCCAAGAAATATTCCCAGTAAGTATTTCGTTAATAGGATCATCGACGAAACTATAGTTGAAATTCATGTTGACGTTTTCAAAAGTGGACATCGCGAAATCAGCCCTCATACATCTATATGATAAAGCTTCTTCAGAACTAGCGTAGTATTCTATGACGTACCACATTCCTAGCATCTAAAAAATGTTAGTGTTTGATAGTTATATAGGCACTATAAATGAGGACTAGACATAAGGATAAACCAATGTATAATGTGTTTTAATGACTTCAGATGAGGTACTTCCATTATATATCATATAATATAAAGACGGTTGTAGATTTTTGTTTCAATATTTGAAAGAAATTGAATTCACTACGACTTTTGACCATGATAAACGACATGTGGAATACAATCTTAGATTCTCTTGTCGAGTTATTTATCAAGCTGTTTGCTTTGCAAGTTTTATAAAGCACGGTGGTCAAATTTTGAATTCGATTTCGACAGGTAGAAATCGTTTGATTTCTCTTTTTGTTTATATATCACTTGGTAGTGTACAAAACTGTTATCAGCTGTAATTTCTTCTTCTTCTTCTGGTTCCTATCCGTTTCGGATGTTGGAAATCCTATTGGCAATCATAACCTTGCTCGCTGCGGCTCGAAACAGCTCCGTTGAGGTTTTCTTAAACCATGTTCTTAAATTCCGCAGCCATGATATTCTCCTTCTACCGGGTCTTCGCTTACCTTTGACTGTACCTTGCAATATAGTCTGTAGCAGGGAGTAACGGTGCTAATTTCTCATAACGTGTCCCAGATATTGCAATTTTATGCATTTGATCGTAAATACAATCTCTGGTTCCTTCTTCATTTTTCCTAGAATTTCCTTGTTCGTGATCCTTGCTGTCCATGATATTCTCAGCATTCTTCTATAAAGCCACATCTCAAATGCTTCAAGTTTTTTAATAGTGTTATCTGTAAGCGTCCATGCCTCCTCCTCGTACAACAACACAGAGAAAACATAGCATCTCAAATGTCTCATTTTTGTATCAAGGGATATGTTGTGACTTTTGAAGATGGCGCTCATTTTGTTAAAGACCGTTCTTGCCTTTCCTATGCGGCACTTTATTTCCTGTAAATTGCTCCACTGTTCGTTAATAATAGTTCCCAGGTAACAATACTGTTTTACTCGCTCTATCTGCGTCCCATTAATGTATAGATGAGCCCCGTTTATATTCTCCTTGTTGATAATCATTTGTTTCGTTTTGTGGGTATTAATGTTTACTCCGTACTGTTGACTGTACTCGTTTATTCTGTCCATTAGCCTCTGAAGTCCCTCTAAACTATCTGCTATCACCATGGTGTCGTCGGCATATCTAACATTGTTTACTTTTTCACCATTTAGAAGGATGCCTTCATCTATTCCGTAAAGAGCCTCGTTAAAAATTTTCTCTGAGTACATATTAAATATCAACGGTGATAGGATACATCCCTGTCTAACTCCACGTAGTATTTTTATGTGATCGGTTTTTTCTCCGTTAATTTTCATGTATGCGGTCTGATTCCAGTAGAGTTCTGAAATTATTCTGAGGTCTTTGTCAACCAGGTCTGCCTCTTTTAAAATGTTCATCATCTTTTGATGAACTCTGTCAAATGCCTTTTCATAGTCGATCAAGCACGCGTTTACGTCGCAATTAACGTCCCTGCATCTTTGAATAAGTACCTGTACTCCGAAAAGTGCCTCTCTGGTACCCACTGCGTTAATGAAGCCAAACTGTCTGTCCGATATTTGTTCCTCGCACTTCTTATAAATTCTTCCATGGATGACTCTAAGAAACAGTTTCAACATATGGCTCATTAGGCTGATTGTTCGATATTCTTCGCACTTTTTAGCCCCCTGTTTTTTAGGTATCGCTATGAATTCTGATTCTAGCCATTTATCAGGGATGATTCCTGTATTGTATATTTTATTGAAGACAGCCGTGATACAAATTATTCCTTCTTCTTCCAAGGGTTTTAAAAATTCAGCTTCGATATAATCAGGCCCTACAGCTTTCCTGCTTTTCATCCGTTTTATTGCTTCTTCTACCTCGGATTTAAGTATGTCCGGGCCCGTCATCCTCTCTGAAAATGGATGCCTATAATCCGTTCTTTGATCTTGAAAAAGTGTCTCCAAATATATTCTCCATTTGTCTTTCATCTCTTGGGTGTCAATGATTAATTTTCCATTGGTGTCTATGAGTTTCATTTGTGTTCGCTTTTTAAAAGTACCCGTTATTTCTTTGATCTTTTTGTGTACATTAAAATTGTCATGCTTGGCTTGTAGTCTTTCTATTTCTGTACATTTCTCTACAGCTTCTTTTTCTTTAGCTTCTCTTATTTTTCTTCTGATGTAAGCCTGCATTTTTTTATACTCATCTTTATTTCCTTTAATTAACCTTCTGCGTTCCATTAAGTGAAGGATTTCTGGAGTCATCCAAGATTTCTTCTTTGTTTCTTTGTTTGGTTTTAGCAGATCTTGTTTAGTTTTCTTAATTATTTCTTCGAATTGATTGATTTCTCGTTGGATGTTATTATCTTCTTTTAGTTGTTTAACTTGGTTGTTAATATATTCCCCCACTTGCTTTTTAACTTCCGGATGTTGCAGGGCTGTCATGTCGTAGTTAGGTCTAGATTGTTTCTTTATTGTCTTCAGTCTCACATCCATGACTCCCACTAAAGGTATGTGGTCAGATTCAATGTCCGCTCCTGGATATGTTTTGACAGATTTAAAACTGTTTCTGAATCTTATATTTACCAATATATAATCTATCTGGTTTCTAATTACGTTATGGGGTTTATCTGCTGGTGCCTTCCATGTATACAATCTCTGTAGTCTTCCATGTATACACTCCCAGCTGTAATTTAGTACCTTGCAATCCGATCGTAATAGTCTACTATTTCAGGTACTATGCCATAGAGTTTGCAGCTGAAGTCTCCATGAAATAGTATCAATGTGTGCATGCGTTCCTTGACTGATACATCCTCAGTAAGAAAAGTATAATTAAGAGTTAATTTCTGCTTGTTTTCCGCATTACTTCAGTCTTAATTGTCCATTCAATATATATTTTACAATGTACTTCACCAAAGGTTTCTGAGTTTTGTTCGGATCTAGGCCCTCATCTGGTCACGGGAGTGTTTTTAGCACTCCTAAGGCTCCTCTCCCCATTTTAGTAAATCTATAAACTCTTTCGTCGTCTTATATATTCCTCGTTGACCTGGAATCCATACTAATAAACACTGTTATGTTCGGTCAGTCTGTAGAGTACTTCTTGGGATTCCGTTTTTCTTCTTTGTCTTTAGTCTCTACTTTACTCTACTTTTTTCTATAAACTCTTGGTTTTGTTTCACTAAAACCTTCCATTTTTTTTGGTTTAACTTTTTTTTTTTAATTTTGTATGAATCCTCCCAATATTTTCCAATATTTCAACTTTCATATTCCTCTATCCAGGTTAATCAGATTTGTTACCATTTTTTATTACTTTATTATATCATTCTGTATTGTTTATATCTTTTTTCACATTTCCTTCTTTCTTCAAAAGTTTTATCTCATTTCTATGCTAAATCATTTTCCGTATGCTTCTTTTTCTTATTACTATTTTCTATTTTCTATGTTTTATCTAAATTCTGTTTTTGGAAAAGGAGCTGTTTATAGAATTGCAGTAGTGATTTTTCTTGAAGTAGTTCAAGTTACTGGTTTTCCGTCTTCTTATAGTGTTCTGAAATTTTTCGTCAGAGTCAGTCTTGTTATGACGCTTCTACATATTTTTGCTCCCCTGCAAACTCACATCTTTGATCAATATATGGTATGGGTTGTACCACTACTGATGTTATATAGTACTTATGATGTATTTTATTTTGTATTCTAGCTGCATCAATTTCAATTTTTTTAGTAATTACGGTTTTACCTGTCTGGTCTAGAAAATATTCTAAAAGCAGGTGTATGTTCGAGATTTCGCCACGAAGGGTCTTCGTTAAAATTCCAGAAAAACGAGACAATATAAATACGAGTAATTAAATCCTACAACGTTAGATAGGTGATTTTGTATGCAGTCCCAGTTTGGAGTTCCATAGCAGAGACCAACTGGAAGAAACTTGAATCGACAGAAACATCGTGTTACCGGATCATAGAAGGAACATCTTGGGAAGAAAGAATCACGAATGCAATCATCAAAGAAAGGCTCCAGTACACACCACAAGAAGACTCCGTAAGACCAGGGACATCCTCGAGAAAAACAGGATCCAGAAGATGTACAGAAACCCACACAAACTGATTGACCATCTAATCAGGGTCTAGCCGGATGGTTGCCGGAAAACAGCCAAGCAGGGCAGTAGGTACGATGGCGAAATAAATACCTACAGAAGAAGACGAGGAAACAGACTAATAGAGTACATTACAGCTGGATTTAATGAAAAGCAGTATACAGGAGCGTTTTTAACAGCTAGCGATCTAATATCCGAACATTTTCTCATGCAACGTTATATTATCATATTAAGAAAAAAATTAGCGTTAATTTTATATACAAAACATGCATATACGCCATGAGCAGCATATTTTATTTAAAAAAATAGATGAACGAAATAATATTTTTGTCATACTATTATGTAATTGAATTAAAAATATTTGCGGCGCATTTTGACTGTCAAAATATTATCGATGTATTCTCTTAATTTCAAATGCATATTTGTTTTTGAGTGATTTTTTCTTGATTAGTAATTTTTCACGATCAATTCCAGTTTACATCGAAACTTTTTTTAACAATTAGGTATTACATTTATTACAACACAATTTAATGAAATTAAAATTTAATGAAATACAATAATGAAAAAAACACCAAAAATTATTAAAAAATTGACCTGAGTTGATTGAATGAAAATTTATGAGACGAAATTTCTTACCTCTTGCAAATCAAAATTCCTTATTGCTCGCACTTGAGGACATTTTGTTTTATCCTCTGGTCTATTTCTTCTTGCCTGTATATTATTTACAGCAAAAATTCCTATTATTGCAAAAAGAACCACACATTTGTCCATTTTGAACAACTAATAAATGAGAAGAGTAATTTCAAGCATTTCCCTTCGTGTCATCGTTTTATCATCTGTGGTGGGCGTTTATCAAAATATTTATTGATGTGTCCGAAATATTTATAAATTCTAGTAAATTAATAAATATCTTTACAGTTGTTTGTTTCATAAATATAAATAAATTTGAGATAGAGAAAATTGTATTTGCTATTCGATATCGATATAGTATAATATAATTTAGTAATTATAATTGAAATGCCTTTCTTGTTCTAACGAATGATTGTCGATGACCATTTTTGTTTTTATGGATTATTTACTTAAAAAATACTTCTTCGTAGAAAGAGAGAGCAACATTTATTGTTCGAACATGCAAAAATTGCCTGAACATTGAAATGAAGAACAACATTAATAACATTCTATTAGAATACGGGAATGGACAGGACTGGACTTATTAAATACAGAGCAAGTTAAAAAATCAAAACAATGTCTTTAAAATCCAATAACTCTAGCTGATTGAATAATAAATATATCTAAAATCCAAAGAGTCTTAAGTTAAAGTAAATATGTCTGACCAAACAACTCGATAAACTCAAGAAAAACGGGTAAAATCACATATTTTTCAACTAACCACTACATCGTAATACAAGCACGTGGCTGATAAAAGAATTGATAAAAGAGGGTTTAATACACCATTAAACGTAAATCTTCTATATATAAAATTTTTTAAAATAATTATGATATTTCTTGTAAAAATTAAATTAAAGGTATGAGTGTAAAATTGATCGTATGCTTGAACATTTGCATGATCGATTATGGACTAAAAATCAATTTGAAGAAAACCAAGTTCATTTGTATTTACAAAAGCACAAAACATCAAAGTTAAGCTAGTACTGGATAATACAGAAATTGAACAAATATCTTCGTACAAATACCTTGGAGCATGGATTACAGAAGATAATGATCAGACAAAAGAAATAAGATGCCGCATTGAAATTGCTCGGTCAACTTTTAATAGAATGAGAAAACTTTTTTGTAATCGCGATATAAATATATCGCTCCGGATAAGAATGCTTCGATGTTATATTTTCTCTACCCTTTTGTAAGGAGTTGAAGCTTGGACACCTAAAAAATCCAACATTAAAAACCTAGAAGCATTCGAAATGTGGTGTTACCGACGTATTTTGAAAATATCATGGATGGATCGCAAAACAAACGAACAAGTTCTCGAACAACTAGGAAAACAATGCGAAGTTTTAAATTCCATAAAAACCAGGAAATTGGAATACTTGGGGCACATCATGAGAGGTGAAAAGTACGAACTGCTAAGGAATATAATGCAGGGTAAAATCAAAGGTAGAAGAAGCGTAGGAAGACGTAAAATCTCGTGACTACGCAATCTCTGTGAATGGACCCCAGACACTTCCGGGGTCCAGTTACCCCCCATCACCCTGCAGTAACTGAAATAATCAACGTATCCACAGGTGAAAGTGAATCAGAATGGAATTATCATTTCACAGACATCATACTTATCAGGCAAAAAATATTATTTATTCTAATAATTCCCTCCACCATTCGATTTGAATTTGATTGCATCTTGACTAGTTTCGTATGATTTAATTCATAACGCTCGTTCGGGTAAAGATCCGCCGTACCGATTGTAGTTTCATTGTCCTATACTTTCTTTTATTGACGAACGTAAATAGAGTGCATATAAATCGTAACAAAGAGTAATGTCAACAAACCGTGACGGCTTTGTCAGCGAAATACAATTCGTGTGCATCAAAAACGTCTACTTTAAATAAAAAGCAATTTAAGTGTTATCACAATATCTTCCCACAAAACTGATAGTTGGTATCGAGCGATTTGAATGAGGCTGACCTTCCTACAATAGCTGGCGGTAATCACCGCAATGTCAGTTGGTGTTTACTCACAAACAAACTCGGTTTAAAGAAATGTGTGCTTTGGTCGCTGACGTTCTTCCAACTCTCTATGAGTATTATACGGGTAAGACAACGTTTTATTTTCAGTGATTCTCGGTAGTAGTAGTAGTTTTGCTTTAAATTTGAGATACTTATCTAGGAAGTAATTGTTTATATAGTACATATAATTGACTTTTTGAACGTCACGTCAATCAAAGAGTAAAAATTGTTCAAATTAATGTTTTACTTCAAATTGCAGAAGGCATTGATTATTTTATACTTAGTCGATTTTGCGCAGTTTTTTTGGCGAAAAAATAAATGCACAAAATTAGGCATGCACTTTGTATATGTTGGGCTAATTTAGATATGAAATGGATAAAAATTAAAAAAAAACTGTAATTATTTACCAAATAGTTAACCTTCCACAGATAACGTGAACAATTTTAAAATTTTTATTAACGTCGGTCTAACAAACCGACTTTTTCTAAAATTAAAAAAAAAAAATAGCAAGTTAGCTGTAGGTGATAAATATTTGTAATAATATAATTTTGTATATTATTCTGTATACAAATATACGAAATTTAGAATTTTTTTGTTATTTTAATAATTTTAAGGGAGTATTAAAAAAAGTGTCATTTTTTTGAACATGCTTTTAATAAAATCAAAATAATTATAACAAAAAAAAATAAATTCTGGTTCCACTAAAACATAAATCAGTTACTTGTATGTTAATAAACAGGGAAAATAAAATTTTACTCTCAAAATTTACACAGATTACTGAAACTATTCCAAATTTTGGGCACCATAATTTTCAAAACAATGCCTACATAATCCCGTCAGATGTTCTAGACACAAATATTTATTACAGTTTGCACAAGAATATCTTGTTCTTCGTTTTTTTTGTAGTGCTGTAGTACGTACATCGTCCATGAGTTTGATTCTGGACTCTGGAGAAGAATATTCTGTTTCTATACCATATATTTCAGAAAGACGTAAACGGATTATCCTGGGAATGTTTTGCTGTTGTGCTCGTCGAAGAATATGTGGGCTAAGTAACTGAAATCCTTAATTTTCTAAGAATTTTCTTCTACCGATTTTGTTTGGGTATTCGAGGTGTAAATGATGTAACTATTTATTCCAGCAACATTCTTCTTCTTCAAGTGCCATCTTCGTTCCGAAGGTTAGTGATCATCAGGGCTATACGTATTGTCAAAACTGCTGACCGAAACAATTCGTTGTTGCTACAGCTATACCATTCCCGTAGATTCTTTAGCCAGGAGTTTCGTCTTCTTCCTATGGACCTTTTTCCTGCTATTTTTCCTTGCATAATTATTCGAAGCAGTTCATATCTTTCGCCTCTTGTAATGTGTCTCAAGTATTGCAGTTTTCGTTTTTTGATCGTAAATATGACTTCCTTTTCTTTATTCATTCTTCTCAAGACCTCGACATTTGTGACTCTCTCGGTCCATGATATTCTCAGGATTCTGCGATACATCCACAGTTCAAATGTCTCTAATTTTTTGGTATCAATCTTTTTCAACGTGCATGACTCCATTCCGTAGAACATCACAGAAAGTACGTAACATCTCATCAGGCGAAGTTTCATTTCAAGGCTTAAATCTCTTCCGCAGAACACTCTCTTCATTTTAGTGAATATGGATCTGGCTTTTTCTATTCTTATTTTGATTTCTGCTGAGCTATCGTTGTCTTCATTTATAAAAGTGCCCAAATATTTGTATTTGCTAACTCGATCGATAATTTCATTGTGTAAATATAAATTTTGGACATTTTGTGTTGATTTCGATATTACCATAAATTTAGTTTTCTTTATGTTCCAGAAAGACTCTCCATATTCTACGCTGCAGTCTGCTATCTTATTCACCAATGTCTGTAGCTCTTCAAGTGTTTCTGTGATCAGAACGGTGTCATTGGCAAATCTCAGATTGTTTAATCTAACACCATTAATTTTCATACCTACGGATTGCTCAGAGAGTGTTCTATTCATTACGTCTTCGGAATAGAGATAAACAGGGTTGGTGACAGTATACACCCTTGTCTCAGACCTCGCTTTATTTCAATTTCTTCAGTGGTATTATTCTCTACTCTTACTTCTTAGAGTGCCGTCTCCCTACGGAGGTTGGCAATCATAATGGCTATTTTTATTTTAGAACTTGCTGCTCTAAACAAATCAATCGATCTGCATTGGTACCAATCACGTAGATTCTTTAACCATGAGTTCTGCCTTCGGCCAACAGATCTTCTTCCTTGAATCTTTCCCTGTATTATCAGTCTCAAAATTTCATATTTTGGTCCCCTCATCACGTGGCTTAGGTATTCCAGTTTTCTGGTTTGTATAGTGGTGATTAGTTCTGTTTCTTTACCAACCCTCTCCAGGGTTACTACTGCTCTGCTACTACTGGCAGTACTCTTACTACTGCATTCTAATTGTAGTACATATTTGCTATTAGTTGGATGTCTCGTTTATCTAAATTCTTCTCTTTCAGGAGTCTGATTAGGTGATAATGCCGCACTTTATCAAAGGCCTTGTTGTAATCTATGAAACACATGAATACATCTTGATTTATGTCAAGACATCTTTGAGACATAACGTTCAGTGCAAACAACGCCTCTCTTGTTCCGAGTCCATTTCGGAATCAAAACTGGGTATTATTGATGTCCATTTCCAGTTTTCTGTGTACTCTAGTGTATAATTTTCAGGAATATTTTCAGTACATGGCTCATCAGACTGATTGTACGGTAATCATTACATTGTTTGGCAAGTATCTTTTTTGGTATAATAATAAAGGTTGATAAAAGCCATTCTTGTGGTATTTTTCCTGATGTATAAATGCTATTGAAAGCAAATTTTTCATTCTTTTTAGTGTAGAGACCTTCGTCTCCTTGTATGTTACTTAGCTCAGATTGTTGCCTATAATCTGCAAAGAGTTCTTCAATATAGTTTTTCCATGTCTTCAACTGTTCTTCTATTACTATTATTATGTTTCCGTTGACATTATACAGGGTATTTGACTGCTTACGTTTTTGTGTACCTGCAAGTTCTTTCACTTTTTTATATACATTAAAAATATCATGTTTTGCCTGCAATTGCTCTATTTCTTCACATTTTCTTTTATAAAAGTCTTCTTTTGCTATTCTGATTTCTATTTTGATTTCTTTCTGTATTCATTTATACCATTGTTCGTTTTTTCCTTTCATTATTCTCCGATTGTCCATAATAAGAAGGATCTTATCAGTCATCCACCTTTGCTTTATTTTTGGTTTTTCTTTAGTCAGAATTTTCTTCGCAGGACCTGTTATCGCCATTTTTACGTTTTTCCATTTTTTATCTATCTTGTTCGTTGGCTGAGATGTTTCTTTTTCATGAAGTATTTTCAAATTATTATTAATACATTTTTGCAGTTTCTCCTTTACCTCCAGGTTACATAAATGACTGACGTCTATCTGATTTGCTCTTCTTTTCTGCTCCAATCTTTTTAGTTTAATACTCATTTGCGCTATTAGAGGGTTATGGTCTGAAAAGACATCTGCGCCTGAGTAAGCTTTAACGGATTTTAAGAAGTTTCTGTATCGTTCGTTTATCAGTAAAAAATCAATCTGGTTTCGAATTATTCTTTCGCCATTGTTCTGGGGTGATTTCCATGTATAAAGTCTTCTCTTTGGTTAGTTGAAGAATGTGTTACATACAATCATGTTGTTCTCCTGGCAGAATTTAAGTAGCAACATTCATGGCGCTATAAAAAATGACCATTGGCCAACGATCAGTTACATGAGCGCAATTGTAGGCTTCGCACATTTTGTCAACAACGTCGACGCCGCCGCCTTTTGTTTTGTTGTGGTCCATGATTATTTCCGGTTTGCCAGTTTCCTCGTCAACAGCATCATCATAATGCATAGTCGATACTAACAGGATATTTCTTTTTCGTTTTGGAGAATACGAAACGAGCGTACACTTATCTCTAAAAGCAAACATAATAGATTTTTCTGGTCTTGCTAGTAACATTTATTTTGAGGAGGTATCTCACGTTTATTTTGACTTAATGTCCCAACTGTAGTAAGACAGTGTTGCCTTAGTATCTCCGTCAGAGGTAAGCTGGTAAAAAAGTTGTCAAGCGTGACATTTCTATTTGATCCCAAGATAGGTGAACAAAGACGAGGCACTAATGCTAAATTCGAAGTCTCCCGTTGCAATGGTCTGGTAGGTTGTTTCCCTATGTACACTTCCATATTTGCAGTATAAAACATTTTAGCGTCCACTAAGCCATATATTTTTATTCCGTAGCAATTCGGTTTTTTAGGCATATAAATTTTGAAACGACATTTACCTCGAAATGCTTCGATTTTTTCGTCAATCGTGATGAATGCTGACATATTGTAATGTTGCTGGTAGCTTTATCGTCGAAACGAATATGTTTCAACAAAACATTTTCTCCGGTTATTTTTACTAGCACTAGAAATATATGAAAGTCCCAATACTGCTTTTATTTCTAATAAATCAGTCGGTCTAAAAGAACGAGTTTGCGAAACGTCATAGGCTTGCATTTCTATAAATTTGTTAGTGTAAGTAACAACTTTTTCCAATATGTTTGGAGAAAAGAAGCATTCCCATATTTCTAAAGCTTTATTTTTATGCCTTATATCTCCCTTAGGTCCAGGTAAACGTGTAAAAATATTTTCAGCGTGTGTTCGAACATTCCGTGCTGATGCAGGATATTTTCGCCACGTCGTAGTTCCATCTTTACCGATAAGGCAGAGTATTCTTGAGGCACAAGGGGTTTCTTCAAGAATAGTTTTGTTGATTTTCAAACTCCTCTTCCAAGTCTATATCCTCAATAGTTTCTATAATATGGTCGTCTATCAAACGCACATCATCATCATCTGGTTCTGCCTCTGAATCATTTAAAACTTCTCCATGAAGCTGCAACAGCCATTCTTGTTCCCCCTCGTAATTCATTATAAACGTGTGCCCTAAAATATAATATAAATCATTACCGCAAACAAAAAATCAAACAAATTAGTCTTACCTTAAAATGTAATGGCAACTATAACGTCGGTTTGTTGGACCGA